TGGAGGCCAGGAAATCCGTCTTACTCCTGGCGGCCAGATTGAAGGTCGCGTTTGAGGATCTTGGTGTCGACATTGTTGACATCAATCAAGGATTTCAAACTTGGCTTACGTTTACGGCATCTTCGTTGATTTCGAATGCCTTATTGACGTATGGGGAGCACTTGATGAAGTCTCTATCGCACATGGGGGGAGTCAGAATATCGAAGAGGCAAGCTCTGGAAATTTTCCGGAATGGACGCGGCAAGCAGTTCAGCATCTATCGCGAAAGGATTTATGATGATGTCGCGAAGAAGTGGCTCCTGGTCTACAGGGTCACAAAAGATTGCGGAAATGTCGCATACAAGGACTTCTTCGAGAAGGTCGCCGTTCCTGAGGTGAAGGAAAGGAACGAGATCTTTGGATTCTCCCGTGCATCAGCCGAGAAAACCGGGGACATCATCGAGTTTTGGCTTGGTGTCTTGGATGTGGCAAACATGGCCAAAGGAGTTGTGGATGTTTTCAATGCCAGCGTTGATCCTGCTGAGTACCTCAACGGATTGGAAAAGGCATTGGCCCAATTCACATCGACCTCCAGAACTACAAGCACCATCAATGACAAGAGACGGGGATCATTCGACTGCACCCTGCAGACTGCAGAAGCCGAAAGAGTCATGAAGATCATCCACGCAATCCCCGGATATGACTCGCTGGCCAACTTCTGCTGCCTTACAGAGTGGGAGAAAGATCAGGTATTCTCTCAGTATCGAAGGAAGCACAACATCACAGGGGATGACGCCAGCATGGGCGCTGATGCCGATGCCAAGCCAGGTGACGAGTCGTCGGCTCACCCTGGGGAGGAGGAAGCTGATGAGCCAGCAAATGATCCCACTGATGTAGTCAGGGACTCAGAGATTTCCGGAAAACAACAACTCTTGGATGCGTTGGGAAAACTCTTCACCGTCTCTGAGGATGTCAATGTGTGTTTGTACTGTGGTAGCACCAAACATGGTCACCTTGAATGTGAACATGAGAAGAGGGATGAAGTCAGAAAGGTGCTAAAGGCCGTCCGAGCGTCGCTCGAGGCTGATAGTCCCACATCTGATGACGTCGATATGGAACCTCCTGAGCACAAAAAGGACGGATCAGGTGCTACTGAAGGGTCGGGGCAAACGGATGAACCTACAAAACCGAGGTTTAGTGAACACCAATGGTACGACAGCATCAGGACTATGTCCGAAGTTGGAGACCTCGATGAGTATGGTAGGTTCTGCATTGAAGGACGTGATGTTACAAAGCTGGGACCACAGAACGTCGTTGACCTCAACGAAGTGATCCGAGACGCTATTGTCAGAGGAGGAGGTGACACCTGGTCAGTGCCAGAATTCCTTGCAAGCTACTCTGACAACAACATCAGAAAGCCCTTCTACAAACGAATCGAGGCGCCGCAAGATGGTTTCTTGAAAATCATCCCTACAACAGGAGCCCATTTCTTCAACTGCTTTTACTTTGGCGGTGTGGAATATGCGGCCAACTATCGCTTCGAGACTGGCAACCGACTCGACAGCTACGAGGACAAGGTGAGTACCTCGTTGAACAGGATCCTACGTCACAACGTGGGGAAGGTATCAGAATCACAGAGTCTGTTCTGTGATGACGCCGGCTGGGTGCCCATTGAGGAAGTGCTCAAATGTGAGTCCATCTGGAGACACGAGCACGCACGCTGGCCACACGTCTTCCTTGCCCCCAAAGGAAGAGCAAATGATCAAGATGCATGGAATGTCAATGAGGCGAACTATCGCATGACATTGCTGTTCAAGATCATGTTCCATTGTGCTCGGTATGGACGTCGTGTGCGTGAACAAGTCTTGGCGTTCGGGATCAACAAGGATATTGATCGCAGCAGCCTGACGTGCATTGACAACAAAGTCGATGTGGACACGCACATCCCCGACGAAGGGCTACTGCTCTACCCAGTGGCAGTCCGCGCCCCAACGGGGCACAAGGAAGGATCTTCCAGAGATGACGTATCATTGCTGTCATCGTTGCTTTCGCATCCAATCGCACCCAACACCATCATGTCATTACCGGTCTGTTTCCACATCACGAAGAAGACCAACCTCCGAAGCATTTGGAGGCAAGGGTTAATCCCAGGAGGTCTTGGAGAAGGTCATCGGATGTTCACGTTCTTCAACCCGTATGTGCCATGGGATCATAGATCATGGACCATCACGAAGAGCGTTGATACGCGAAAGGGGGATTTTATCTGCCTATTCATCCCGACCGAGACCTTGATGGTGGAGTATGGCGGTCGATTGACTGACTCGGGACAGATCGTTTCACCAAAGATCATCCCGTTTTCGGCGATCAAAGGAGGATGGATTCAGGATCCCAAGGACCAGTACAACAAGACATGGCTCCGGTTGTTCGTCCCGTCGGGCGACGACCAGGTAGTCCGGTCTGGCACTGTCAAATCGAGAACTGTAGCCACCAAGGAGTCCATCCTGAGGGTCGCAAGTCAATGCATCGACGCCGAAGACCAACCGTATGACGAGACCACCATGGATGCCATGAACATCGTCCACCAATTCAGGAACAACCTCATTGAGCCTGGCGGACAAGAGCAATACCTGGCCCGCATCAAGCTGATTGACTACATAGTCGAACGCAAAAGGGTGCAAACTTCAGGTTGCCGTCATTGTCCTCATTGTCTCAACGAGACGCCGACGAAGCTTGCAGTGTGTCTGGTTTGCTGGACAGAACTTGAAAGCTGTGGAATTCGTCCATATCGGCTACAAGCTCCTGAAGATGATGAAGATGAGGCCACAAAGAAAGAGCTCGATGAAGAGGTTCGTCGACAAGAAGAATCGTTGTTCAAGGATACGGTCCATCAAGCACAAGAAAACGTATCCGAATCCAACGACTATGGCTTCAACCCTGACGAGGTCGACTACAATGAAGGCGATGATGAAGAAATGGATCAGGAGGAGGAAACTCAACAGGAAGACGACGAAATCGTTGAAGAAGAAGACGACGATGAGATGGACGTCGAACCTGAAAATGAACCTTCATCCAAACTACCAGCATGGACCAAGAATCTTGAGTGCGGAAGCAAGGGTATGCCGGGAGACGGACTTGTCAACAATGATGTCTCCGAGGCCGCGGCTCACTTGTACGACAACGCCGTGATGTCAAAGATCATCGCAATGTTCAGACTTTACTACAAACAGAGAGTCACTCTGACCCCAGAGGAATACCATGCGATGATGACGGAAACCAAGCGAGTCCGGCTGGACCTGGACGACTTCTGCCCTTATACAGGCGAAGACCAGGATGGCAACCTCAAGCGACCGACGGAGCTGGAATTGGACGAACTCTTTCAGGAGAAAGGGAAGAAGAACTCATGGTCAGAAGGAGAGAAGATGTACTCTGGACGACCGAGAAACATGATGATGCCTGTCGTCAAGACTTTAGAGGTCTATGAAAAGATGATGGAGTTTCTCGTATGTGCTGGGTACACTCCCGAGTCCTTGGGTTTCCTCATGCCAATGAACCGAATGCAGGCTGATGCACAGGGGAAACAGGAGATGAGAGTGACCATCAGCAACTTTCTCCGACGACTGCTGAAAGGAACCTTTCCAGAACATGAATCATACACCTTCTTTCGCTCCGGGAACCACGGCTTTCCCAACTGCATTGAACTCCCAGCTTTCTCGGTATATCTGAGTCTGAGAGAAAAGGAACAAAGGGTGGAACTACTCTTTGCTGCACAACAATGCGGAATTCCATTACCTCAAAACTTTGTCAGCAAGATGGCATATGCTATTCAGCTGGCTGAAGCCGAGGCGCAGAGGGGAAAGTCCGAGATGAAAATGAAGATGGCTCCAACCCTTGGCGACGAAGTGGTGAGTGAGGTATTCAAAGCAGTCGGAGGTAGTGCCGCTGGCAAGTTTGCCACCGCAGACGCAAAAGCCAAATCATCAGCACAGCCTTCACAGAAACCTGAAGGCACTGGTTCAGCGTCATCCTCATCGGCCAGTGCACCAAAGGCCAAGGCTATGCCGAGGTCCTATGAACCATCCAAAGCACCACCTGCGAAGCCGTCATCGCCGAAAGCTGCTCCGAAACGTGCGGCAGGATGGGAGAAATCCCCAACAACACCTCAATGGAAGAAAGTCCGCCGTGAGCAGTAAACCAACTACCTTTGTTCATCCAAATGATCACTGGAATATAAGATGTGTATCGTCTTTGTGAACAGATGATCAGGAAAAGAACAACTGAGTGGACTCTGAGCGAGGCAGTAGACTAATTCGCTTAGGTCCAAGATTTTCAATATTCCCAATCTGCACGAAGTTCTGCACAGTGCACGTGAATTCGTTAGTTAGCATTGTAAATCTTTGGTAGCGAAGCGGTCCATTTCTCCCGTCGGGTGAGTGGCATGCCTAGCCAACGTAGAAAAGTAGATGTTAGCTAGCAATAATTCACGATGTACAGCTTGAAGATGCGCCAATGCATCGACAGCCATAGAGTAGGCGAACCCGGAACCATTATTCCCGTCGGGTATGTGGGAAAGGGGGAGCCGAATGGCACGTTTTATGTAAATAGGCGTAATTCGAGTAGCAGAACCATTCTAATTCAAAGTTCCCTCTCTCGTGTCCGTGGTCCGAAGGTACCACGGGCATGGGGGGTGTCAAAGGGAACTGAACGCTAGGGTATGTATCATGTGCATGCACAACTGCACATCGAAACGCCGTACTGGCTCAAGTCCCTGCGCGAGGAAAAAGTCCGACCTTTGCTTGCCATGCTGTGTCACTGTCCGGAACTACCAGCATAACAGGTATTACGATTCAATAGCAACATCCAGAACAAGGATAAAATTGTTCACAGTATATATATATATAATATATATATGTATATATTATATACATATATATAAAATAATATATCAAATAATAGCCCGTGCTAAGTTTTTTTTGGATCAAAGACGTTTCGCGCGCAAAACGGCAGTTGTCCTCAGCTCGCAGGGCCACAATCTATGGCAACCAGATCAAGGTGGGATCTATCATGACTGGTGGGGAAAAAACATCAGCCATTTACCCGGCCTGGTAATTTAACATAGCTATGGAAAATCACCATTTTTAATGGGAAAATCCACTATTAATGGCCATTTTCAATAGCTATGTTAAATTACCAGAGGGTACCCGGCCTGGTAAACGTTAACATAAACCTATGGAAAGATCCACCATTTTCCATGGGACAATTCACGAACTAAATGATAATTTTCCTTATGTAAACGTCTACCAGAGGGTATGGTACTTGGTGTAGGGAATATCAGAATATCAAGCATAGTTTGATGCGGGTAAAACAATGGAAAATAAACCACCCATGACTGGGAATGGCAAGTTTATACCACCTATATACAAAAATGGAGATTTTTTTGAGGGATAAAGTTTATGGCATTGTTTTCCCCACATTATTACCCTCTGGTAAACTAACATAACTAGGGAAAATCACCATTTTTTATCGGTAAATCAACTATTTCTATGGCCATTTTCAATAGCTATGCCAGTCATTACCAGAGGGTAAATCCCATTAAATTACCAGTAAATCCCGCTAAATCCCATTAAACCACCATTAAATCAACTATAAATTTTTTAAATGGGGGATTTTCAATAGCTACGTTAGTCATTACCAGAGGGTACTATATCAATGATACACTAGGGGGGTCCTCTACTTGGTGGCTCATCCCATCGGTTCTTGGTGCCTTAGTTCACCCCATCACTGGACTGTGTCGACCCCACTGAAGTCACTGGGGTGACACAGATGAGCCACCAAGGGATATGGAGGCAATCTGGTTGGTTTCAAACCATGGAATTTTATTTTCCATAATATATGGGAATAATCATCCAGACTCATGTTTTTTTTTTTTCAGAGGGGTAGGTATACCACAAACCAGTTGAGTTAAATTGAATAGATTTGTTATAAGTCTCTTGAAATATGACATAACCTGAGATGAGTCACCTTTTCCAATTACTAAGCGGAATTGGGCCGACCTTTTTTTCAACACATTTCGACGTTTGCGGCGACTGCCTGCCTTGGCGATCTCTTTATGGCGAAAGGAAACCACGATGGCGAAGTTGGTGAATATCACTTGGTTAGCTAATCATATCACCAATATATATATATACATACATACTGTGTATATATATATATATTATCGAGATATGAATCATACACATGAGCTCCAATGATTTTGAGATATATATATAGATATAGTTGGTGTTTATGAGAGATATAACATGATATAACATGACTGGTTGGTGGTTTGGAACCATGGACTTTTATGACTTTCCAGATACTGGGAATGTCATCATCCCAACTGACGGACTCATATTTTTCAGAGGGGTAGGTCAACCACCAACCAGATCCCATAGAACCAGCGATGATCTCATCCATGATTCCATATAATCCCATATAATCCCAACCAGTAACTATTCCCAACCAGACATGATATGTCACTGATCAAAAAAAAAACCGGGCTTTCTCTCAGCCAACTACCTGGCCAGGTGAGCCTGTCGAGACCGCCGCACTCGTTGGGAGCCTAGGGGCCGAATGCTGCCGGTTCAAAATGTGGTTCAAAATGGATGTTTTTTCCCGATGGCAATTTTCCAAAATCAGATTCTTCAAAACTTTTTCAACACATATGGATTCGACATTTTAGAAAAACATGTCTGCAAGAATTGTGAGGATTCCAAATTGCCTAATCTTAGCTTAAAGCAATCGTAAAGCATCCCCAATCTTACCATAAATGGGTTGTCTAAACCATCAAATGGGTGGTTTATTAATTACCATCATTACCGAACATGACATAGATGAAATATCTCAATGGATGGCTGGTTCCGTGCTCCATCTTAGGCATTATGCGCCCCAACTTCAGCCTTGTGAATCCTGACCGGGAACCATGAAAAATCAGAGTATACATTAGCATATATAATATAATAGTACCCTCTGGTTATGACTAACAGTTTGCCATGGTATAGATGACCCATAGAAATAGATGATTTTCCCAGCTAGAAACCTCCATTTACAAGGGATTTTCCATGGCTATGTTAGTCATAACCAGATGGTAATAGTATATAGTTTATACATTAGCATAGTATAGTTTATGCATAGTATAAAATATAACCAAGTCCCTTTTTCTCCCTCCAAAAATGGCCAGAACATCAGCACATCGTTAGCCGTTGCTTGATTTTGGGGTGAAACGGCCAAGGTCGCATCGCAGAAACTTGGCATCAACGGTCAGATTCTGACTGATTTTCAGCAGGAGTTTGGTGATCTTTAGATCTTTAGAGATATTAGAAGAATCATGTAACCAAGTAAGAATCCTCTATTGTTTTGATCTTTTGGATGGTTGATACCACCCATTTCTGGCATAGGATAAGACCGGATCATCTCTATTTTTCATGGGAAAATTCACGATTTCTATGGTGATTTTCCATGGTTATGTTAAATTACCAGAGGGTATTATCCACTATATCCCCAAACAAAATCCCATATAAATCCCCAAAACAATCACCATTACCCATAGGATCCATGTATGCTATATATGGTAACATAGATCCCATTCAGATACCCCAAATGTTAGCATATATACCAGCACCATGGATCCGTCATGGATTATATCCCCAAACAAAATCCATTTTCCATGGTTATGTTAGTCATAACCAGAGGGTATTATCCATTATATCCCCAAACAAAATCCTATATAAATTCCTATAAATCCATTATATCCCCATATAAATCCCATATAAATCCCTATAAATCCATTATATACCCATATAAATTCCATGGATATGTTAAGAAAAGGGGTGACTTCTACTCCGACTTGCAGCTGGACCAGTTGACCCCAGTTGACCCCAAAAAAGGATTTTCGAAGAATCTTGGCCAGGCATCCCGTGTGGACTTTCCCCATGGCCAGCCTCTGGTAAAATGGCCATGTTAATAGGGATTTATAGGGATTTATAGGGATTTATAGTGATTTATAGGGATTTTGTTTGGGGATATAATGTATCATACCCCCTGGTAATTTAACATAACCATGGAAAATCACCATAGAAATCGTGAATTTTCCCATTGAACAACTTTGATTTTCCATAGTTTATTGTATGTTTACCAGAGGGTATGTGATTCATCCCCGGATTTTTTTTTCCATGGTTTCGTTGTTTTTTTAAACCAGGGCTGGTTTCGGGGAACGGATTCCTCGGATGCCTTCCAAGGTGTGGAATACTCAGAGTGGGGCAATGAGGCGCGAAAAGACATCGTGGAACTGGCCAAACAAGAGCAGTTTCTTGCTGATCACTTTTTTTTGTTTACAGAGTTTACACATATAACTAATTACACATTTAATTGCACATATAATCAACATACATCAGCCCAAAGTGGTAGGAATCAACCCAACCCAACTGTGTTTTCCTCCCATTTCTTGCCGCAGTACCATTCGCCGCAGAGGTCGGGACCATGACATGCCATGACATGCCGGGCGGGTGGCGACATGTTGCCTTGGAGACTACAGACACTGCTTTTGGGGGAAGGGGTTTATAGGGATTTATAGGGATTTATAGGGGATATAATACCCCCTGGTATCATTTGTTTGTTCCCAACTGTTTGAATCTGAAAACGTCTCCAAGACGTTTTCGGCACACATAAATTGACACTTCAAAGTGTGTGGACTTTGCCATGCAGAGGTGAAGGTTTAACTTGCAACGTATCTGCCCAGAGGAAAGCATGCCGGTCAAACTTGGATACCCCAATAATCAGATGGTGAATAAAAAACACATATATATATATAGATATGTATATATATATATACATTTCAATCTCTGATCTCTTCTGGGGCTTAAATGGCTTGACCCATAGCCGAATGAATGTCAACGGCTCAACTACACCATGATTCGAACGTCCCCGATTTATAGATGAGTTTTCCGTTGGACACCTCCCATAAGTTTAACCCATGTGAAAGTTTGATATTCCATGAATATTTTTGATATCTGGAATCTGGATGAATCTGGAACGATGTTTGGACCCATAGTTTAATCATGTTTTTCTTCCATGAAACCATGGGATTTGTGGCAAAATCCATCCACAATTTGGAGGCGGCACGAGAGCAATCGTCGCTTGGCCATTCACAGCTGGGTGTTCAATCCATGATGTTCTAGTGGGATTTTAGCAATCAGATTTTTCTGGCTTACATCAAATTCATTGAATGGGGAACCAAAAAGGGCGACTCTCAATATTGGGATGGGATTACAGTTCAATCTGCGGTGATAGATGCGGAGATATTTGAACGATGTGAAAACCTAACCAGCATTTATTGTTCTTTTTTTGCAGGGGATCGAATTGATTGGCCATGATTTTTTTCGGTACGAATTGATTGTGCTGTTTTTTCGTGAATGATATACGGTAATGTCAACCCTGGATTAATAAACCCCAAACGCTTGTTTAATTGGGGGGGTACCATAAAAAAGTATTGTATTGGATTGTGACTATTGGAGGAGTACCCCCCTAATTAATAAACCATGGATCACCACTATTAACCACTATTATCCACTATTAACCACTATTAACCACTATTAACCACTATTAAACTATGGTTTATTAATCCAGGGTTGACATAATGCCGGATGAAAGACGGTGGATTATAGAATCTACCGAGGTGCTGCAAGCGGTAGCTATGCTCGATCTTTCCTACCAACCATGGTGCTTTTCAATCAGCAACTGGTTGTGACAACGTTGGTTGAATAAGAAAGTTACACATGGGACAAACCCAGTCATCGAAAAATTGGTTCGATGTGGTTTTCCCAGCATTGCTAATGAATGGAATGTTCATATGCATGCATGAATGTGATCATATTTTTCCTAAGATTATCCTTTTCAACTATGATATTGCGTTATACTGGTGGAAAAGGTTTATTCTCAATCATTTCCCATGTGTACTATGATATAATATCATTACTGTTAAGACATGGTTAATGATAACTCACTCACTGGTGAAACGTTGAAATGAGTATCATTACTCACCATAAAGATATGTTTCCCTTTGTATTGGGTCAAGTAAACGATCACATCTATGGAAGGGCAACATTTTTAAGCTCGGTAAATCAACCAAGTTTCTATGGCCATTTTCAATAGCTTTCTGTATACCAGAGGGTAGATATTGTCTGGTTGGTGGTTTCAATCATTTTCTATTTTCCATTTCATATATGGGATGTCATCCTTCCCATTGACGAACTCATATTTTTGAAGATGGTTATTGCACCACCAACCAGATAATATTTTGTGTATATAGGTAAACCACCATTTTCAATAGGTAAATCACCGTTTTCAATTGGTAAATCATCATTTTCAATAGGTACATCACCATTTTCAATCGGTAAATTACCATTTTCAATAGGTAAATCACAATTTTCAAAAGGTAAATCATCATTTTCAATCAGTAAATCACCATTTTCAATCAGTAAATCACCATTTTCAATAGGTAAATCACCGTTTTCAATAGGTAAATCACAATTTTCAATCAGTAAATCACCATTTTCAATAGGTACATCACCATTTTCAATCGGTAAATTACCATTTTCAATAGGTAAATCACCATTTTCAATAGGTACATCACCATTTTCAATCGGTAAATTACCATTTTCAATAGGTAAATCACCATTTTCAATAGGCTAAATCACCATTTTCAATCAGTAAATCACCATTTTCAATAGGTAAATCACCGTTTTCAATAGGTAAATCACCATTTTCAATAGGTACATCACCATTTTCAATAGGTATATCACCGTTTTCAATAGGTAAATCACCATTTTCAATAGGTACATCACCATTTTCAATCGGTAAATTACCATTTTCAATCGGTAAATTACCATTTTCAATAGGTACATCACCATTTTCAATCGGTAAATTACCATTTTCAATAGGTAAATCACCATTTTCAATAGGTACATCACCATTTTCAATCGGTAAATTAACATTTTCAATAGGTAAATCGCAATTTTCAATAGGCTAAATCACCGTTTTCAATCAGTAAATCACCATTTTCAATAGGTAAATCATCGTTTTCAATAGGTAAATCACCATTTTCAATAGGTACATCACCATTTTCAATCGGTAAATTACCATTTTCAATAGGTAAACCATCAATCCATTTTCAATAGGTAAATCTTTTCAATAGGCTAAATCACCATTTTCAATCAGTAAATCACCATTTTCAATAGGTAAATCACCGTTTTCAATAGGTAAATCACCATTTTCAATAGGTACATCACCATTTTCAATCGGTAAATTACCATTTTCAATAGGTAAATCGCAATTTTCAATAGGCTAAATCACCGTTTTCAATCGGTAAATTAACATTTTCAATAGGTAAATCGCAATTTTCAATAGGTAAATCACCGTTTTCAATAGGTACATCACCATTTTCAATAGGTAAATCACCATTTCCAATAGGTAAATCACCATTTTCAATAGGTACATCACCATTTTCAATCGGTAAATTACCATTTCCAATAGGTAAATCACCGTTTTCAATAGGTACATCACCATTTTCAATAGGTAAATCACCATTTTCAATCGGTAAATTACCATTTTCAATAGGTAAATCACCATTTTCAATAGGTAAATCACCGTTTTCAATAGGTAAATCACCATTTTCAATAGGTACATCACCATTTTCAATCGGTAAATTACCATTTTCAATCGGTAAATTACCATTTTCAATAGGTACATCACCATTTTCAATCGGTAAATTACCATTTTCAATCGGTAAATTACCATTTTCAATAGGTAAATCACAGTAGATATTGTTAGTTGCCCAATGATTCACTCATCGTCAGCTCCAGGTTCACCAGGACATGAAAAGTCTGAAAGGCCGAGCGAAATTGATCAGTTTCGGTGGAAGGTCATAATGATACCTCCAGTGAACTACCCTCTGGTTATGTCAAAATAGCTATTGAAAATGGCCATAGAAATAGTGAGTTTTCCCATTAAAAATGGTGATTTTCAATAGCTATGTAAACGTTTACCAGAGGGTAACATATGGAAAACTGCTTGGAGGTTGGAGGTTGATGGTTTTTCTAGTGGTTAGTAATGGTTGGCAATGGTTGATGGATCATGTGAAAAATGATCTATAACTGGTTGGAGGTTTGGAACTCTTTAAATATTTTTCCATTCAGTTGGGATAATGATGGTTAATGATGGTTAATAATGGTTAATGATGGTTAGTAATCACTGGTTGGTGGTGACTGGAACCATGGACTTTGGATTGACTTTCCATTCAGTTGGGAATGTCATAACCCCAACTGACGATTCGTCATATTTTTCAGAGGGGTAGGTCAACCACCAACCAGAAAATGGATGAACATGGCCACTAAATGGTCCATTTCCCATATGTTCGTTTACTGGAGGGTACCAACAATGGAATGAATATATAGTAGTAATTAAGAGATAGTACTAATCTTCAAATTTATCTTGAACGAAAGGTACCCCCTATGGCAATTTGACAGTTTGCGAACTGCAAAATCACAATTTTGATGTTCGGCAAATATTATGGTAGATCATACGTCAATGAACCATTTTCCGTAGCTATGTTAAATTACCGGAGGGTAGGTAATTTGACTTTTTATTTTTTGTAAACCCTTAGTGATGGATTGTGACATAAGTCAAATACTACAAAAAGTCTGTGCATTGTCCCTGTCAGATGAATATAAAGACTTGAAGTGACAACTAGAGTTCTTTAGATGTACTCTCCATTCATCAAAATCCATGGACGATGATGCCATCAAGGATTGATATATCAGACAACGCGACATTTCACACACCTCCAGCTTGGACGCTTGGACGTGCATCACGGGTCACCGTAACTCACCCAGTAACCATCACGGGGTATATGCCATCTACAACTGAGTGAACTTAGTATGGTTACCCTTATGTAATCGAACCACGCGATGGATTTTTCTCACGGTGATACTCAACTGAGGATGATTTTTATGGTAAACATTGGGATTTGCATTGTCGGATTTGTCAGATTTGATTACCGGAGAGTATACAATTGGTCGGAAGCATTGGACGCCTATTCCATTGTTCCATCGCTTTCGAAGCTGATTTTACAAATTAAACTAAAATTAGAGAAAGAAGAATTATGGGGCACACAATGCACATAACTCAATTTTTGCAGCCACATTGGCTCTATTCATTGGCTGGATGGGAGATTGCTGGTTGCATCATGATGACATCGTTTACAGTTTGCGAACTTGATGCTTACCCGGCCTGGTAAACAAACAGTTTGCGAACTTGAAAATGGTCATATATGGTATTATGGTCATAGAAATAGTGGATTTTCCCATGAAAAATGGTGATTTTCCCTAGTTATGTTAGTTTACCAGAGGGTAATCATGGTAATAATGGTCATTTATTTCGTGGATTTTCCCATGAAAAAGGGTGATGTTCCATAGATTTATGTAAACGTTTACCAGGCCGGGTAACTTCAAATTTAAGGCGTTGCGAAACAAAGGATTTATCATCTGCCATGGACAATCACCATTTTTAAGTTCGGTAAACCATCTATTTCAAAAACCAGAGGGTATATTCCCAATAAATCCCTATAAATCCCTATAAATCCCTATAAATCCCTATGAATCCCAACTCATTGGTGAAATCCCAACTTCGCCAGGTCCCTGGTTCCGAACCATTCGCGGGAGGTGCCTTGCGAAATGCCGATGCCTTGATGGGGTCCCATATGGGGCTTTCTAAAAGGACCCAATATACCCTCTGGGAAATCACCATTTTTACTGGGAAACTCACTATTTCTATGGCCATTTTCAATAGCAAACTGTTAGTTTACCAGAGGGTAACCATGGCTTGTTTCAATACGAATTCATGGCCTGACTTGGATGATTTGGGGTAGCCACATGACTTAGGAAACCAGCTTTTTTTGGGGGTGTGGGTGGGTCAAAAGCTATAAGTTTATCATATGACTGGGGGAAACATCCATAAATCCCAGCTATTTCAGAGTACCATCCAGGTGCCAGATTCTTTTTTGTCATAGCCATATAGGTATGGATCAAGAACTGGAGAGAACATTTTATGTTCGAGGATGAAACCAATGTTTTCCTGTAGATGTTCACTTCAGCCAACCCATTGATGTAGGTCGAGACTTTGGACTTAACCAACATATTTAAATTATTTAACATGGCTATAAAAAGCATAAACAACCACATTCAAACCCTTTTTATTGGTGCTTTAACTTAGGGTATTTTAGGAGGCAGTTCCAGTTGTAAGTGGATATATATACTATATATAATATACTATATATAATATACTATATATAATATACTATATATAATATGCTCTACATATATATATAGTGTATATATATACTATGCTATATATATATATTGTGTATATATATATGTATAATATACTATATATATAATATGCAATATATAGTGTATATATACTATGATATACATATATAGTGTATATATACTATGCTATATATATATATAGTGTGTATATATATATATATATGTATATACTATATATATATTATATATGCAATATATAGTGTATATATATACTATGCTATACATATATAGTGTATATATTTATATATACACACTATATATATATATATGAGAACAAAAATCACTATTTTCCTCATCTCCCAACGCACAGGCTGGTTGGAAATCCCATCACGTCATCATATGCTTAGTGCCAGGAAAGCGAATCCAGCCAAGAAGTTGGGGATCCTCAGCAATGCTTGAGGGGACCAAGGGACCCATATTTCGTTGTGGATATTTGGTCTCCAAAAACTGGACAAAATAGGGGTGAAGACAACATCAACTATATTGAATGGACGTTTTATAAGGTTTGTTTGGGTTCTAAGCTATGTAATGCTATATACATCACAGAACCAAGATGAACATTCCATGTCTCTAACCTTTTCTGGATGATATTGGCATTAAACAAAAAGAAAACACAATTTTACCAGATTTCAGATTCTAGATATTGGGTAAAATGATTTTTTCACATTTTCCCATTTTTCCCAATGGTGTTTTTCCCATTTTACCATTTTAAGCCTTAATTATTGGGATTTTACCAGAGTTTACCAGATTTTACCATTTTACCATTTTACCATTTTACAGATTTAACCAGATGCTCCCACAAAAAAACACATTTTCTGGATGATATTGGGATTTTACCATTTTTCTAGTGGGATTTAACTGATGAAACCGTCTCAAAGCCCCTTTTTGACTCAGGAGAGCAGTGAGTCATACTCTGAGGAGGTGCAGGACGATGGCATGGACATGCCTCAAAATTGCCATTAAAACATGGGGAATATGTATATATATATATATATATGTATATATATATATGTATATATATATCTATATATATATATACATATACATATATATATATATACATATTGCAGACTGTGCCACAATGGTAACGGACTCCCGAGCTCAACCAGAAAGAAATGGACCTCCAGATCCCAATCACCACAAATGACCTGCCGAGGGCAGCGGCCGCTGGGCTTCCCTGAGCCACATGTCTAGGTGTAAGATGTGATGACCCGCTGGAAATTCGGTCCAGACGACAACTCATTGTCACAAGAATGTGACAAAAGGGGCTGAATACCATGGTCTATGGTAGATTTTTCACGAACTAGTTTTCATGGGTTTTTTCTCATGGTTTATAAACCAACAGCAACACATAACTGGGGGGGCCCATCCTGTAGAGGATTTGTAATGATTCATAGATATTTGGGACCTGAAAAACCATGCTTTTTCATTGAGGATTCATACATATTTGGACCATTTTGGGACCACTTTTCATGCAGATATAACAGATCTTCATGATTTCGTAAAAGAGGACGGCAGGTCGTAGGCCAATTCTTTGTGTCAGGCTCCTTGGACCTGGAAAAAAAATCCACCAATGTTTGCCGAGAAAAAAGGGGGCTCCAAAGAGATTTTTTCCATAGAGATCATCCAAATTCTTATGCACATAATGATCAGATCATCCAAATATCTATTTATCTCTATTAAAATGACTCTCCCTTCTCAATGAATTTCTTCACTTTAGAGTCATTTTAGAGTAATTTTAGTTTAGGATCATCATCCATGGGTTACCTGGTTCATCATTCTCCCTTCGATATCTCCATGAATTGGGGTAAGTACTCCATTTCCACAATCATCAAGTATCATCAAATATGATCAAATATCGTCAAACAGCCCAACATCACCAAATATTGGTCTTTTCAAAAATCCAAAAAAAACATCCCATCCCCATCCATTCCCATCCATTTCCCATTCACAAAATTCACCATTTTTGTTCGTAAAAATCCACCAATTTCAGTGCGAGGATGCTCCCATCCCGCCCGGTGTCTCCGGGCTCGGCGCTACGCCCGTTGCCGCCACGACGGACGCCCCCGGCGACGGTCACGCCGTGGCAACGGTGGCGACGGACAATGGCGAAGAGGACGAGCCCAGCTGGTTGATGTTTGATGAAATGGGGTTATAGTAATTTTAGGTATAGTATAATATACTATAGTAATGTATATTACAGTATGTTAAATGTATATTAATGTATATTATATTATCATAATTCTATAGGGGTAATATGATGGGTAATATGTAATATGTGTCATCATTCTTATGTACGTATATATATATGTATATATATATGGGTCATATCTTAGGTTATGGTAATTTATATTATTGATGGGTAATATGTAATTTTGATACCTGTGCGATCATGTTCTATGGATAATATGATCATTAGTACCTATACCATTCCTATAGAATGGTTTGATACTGCTATGGTGGGTATGATTACAATGAGGATAGTAGTTTGACTATTTCCATTGAATAGTGCTTGGTAAGGGTGGGTTCAACCATCAGCAAATGGGGATTTAATGGGATGTAACCAACAAGAATTATATTATTCCCTTCCCAGATTCATATTAAACAGCGAAACCATGCTGCATGCAGGGGTGTTTTTTTTCTCGGGGGATGGGAAAAAATGAGGATAGCAATAATACTGACAGTACCATATTTATTTGGGACATGATCAATGGGAGATCTTCAGGATCCATATTTATGGAGGTACGTGTTTACGTACCATACTTTTAGGCCATATTTTATGGGGATGTTCCCTGAAATTTAGGCCTGGAACATAGGCCAAACATATATGGAATCGGTACCTCCGTCCTCAATCGAAACTTTCATGCGGAGAATGGGATGGTAAAAAAAAACACCAAAATGATTAGCCTCTGGTAATTGAAGAGTTTGCGAACTGAAAAATCACCATGTTTCATGGATTTATATGGGATATAATGGGGATTACCCTCTGGTAATTGAACAGCTTGCGAACTGGAAAGATCCACCATGCTATGAATGGGAAAATTCACTATAAGTGGTGATTTACCTATATATGGTCACCATGCTATTAATAGGAAAATCAACTATTTCGACTGGGCCATTTTCAAGTTCGCAAACTGTCAACGTTTACCGGAGGCTCAAAACGGGAGACTCACCCATTTCTCGGGGGCCTGTGGTACATGGAACTAGTTGGACGTTGGTGCGACTTCGCACTGGGCCATTGCAGGGATTCGAGCTCAAACCTGGTTGGTGGTTTGGAACCATGGACTTTTATGACTTTCCATTCAGTTGGGAATGTCATCATCCCAACTGACGAACTCATATTTTTCAGAGGGGTAGGTATACCCCCAACCAGAAACATATTGAAGTCTAACACTGGGGTACTTGAGTGGCCTGATTTAGAAGGCTGATGTTGTCCCATCCCCCTATGATTAGTCACACCCCAATAAAACATGGTCCCAATGTGGAACTTACCATGGTTTCGTTGGTTTCGGGGGTGTTTAATATGAACGGAGGAAGGGATGATCTATAAGTAATGATATTGTTTTAATATTATTATCATTATTGGAGGGGATGACATTATCATTTAATCACTATCATTAACTCATTTATTTTTCAGCAAAACAGGTATGTAACAGGCGTACCTGGCTGGACTTTGGGGTGTGCATCTCGGGACGTTTTCTATCAACCATGGTGAACATCAAAGTATGTAGTCAATAAGTCAAGTACACCTGGGGTTCAATCGAATTTGAACTGGGTCATGCAGTATTCAGTCATGGTTATCAATGTTATCAACCAGATAAGCTGCAGTGATGTGTATGCATGAAGTGGCCAGACACAACTGTCCATCCAATTCTTGACGGGAACAAGACAAAGGCAGTTCAGATTTTGCTACAACCATTGATATTTGGAATCACCGATAAGAATCTCCGTATTATTTGGCCGGCCATAGGAACATGTTTTTTCTGCACGGCTGGTGCCCCCCAGTTGTAAGTCGATTTATGGAAAACCCCTATGAACTCGTTCGATACATCTACCATAAACCCTAGAAAAATTGTATTACCCAGCTGTCAGAATGTTCGTGTTTTACACTGTGATAAACCATCCATCTGGCTAAATTTCATCACGACCTCACTGTTCTCCCGAACCCTGGAAATCATGGTTAGGATTCGGGAAATCATCCCCTTTTATGGCCGCAAGATTCAGCTTAGTGAATTATCATAGTTTACCCAGATTATATTAGATACAGCTTATATTAACGTTTCTTATTGTATATAAAGCACAGTACGAAAAAAATACATGGTTTATTTTAATGTTGTGTGTTAAAGATCCATGATGTTTGCAAAACCACCAGATGTTGGACCACGGGATCCATTTGAATTTCATGTTGAGTTGTTTAGCAACAGGATGGTGCCCCCGAAACCGAGCGATAGATAGCGTTCAGTTGGTGCGTGCGTTTATAACTCCAAGATGTCACAATATATGGTTTTTGTAGGGGATTTAATGGTGATTTATGGTGATTTCATGGGATTCATGGGGATTTATAGGTGATATATCGAACTAGTTACCATCTGGTTATGACATTCACAGTTTGCCATGGAAAGATCCACAATGCTATTAATTTCGGTAAACCAACTATTTCGATTAGGGCCATGGCTTCCATGGCTATGTTCGTCATAACCATAGGGTAGTTAATGGGCTTATAACCAATAGCTGGGACACCACCTTGGAACCTCACTGAGTTGTTTGAATTAAAACCGCTTCAAGGGAAGCTTTCTTCACCACGGGACACCATGGTGACCCCCCAATTTCTTGAGGCATTGGGGCAAACTCCGAAACCCATTGTTGACACAAAGAAATGGTGACTGTGAAGGAGAGTTTTTTTGTGAATGTACATCAATGAGGGTTTCCTAAAATGGGGGTACCCCCAAATCATCCACGTCATGTTCGGATTTTCCATGAACTAAACCATCCAGCGAGCTTGGGGATCATTTATGGAACCCCCAAATGGTGATACCCTCTCGTTATTTAACATAGCTATGGAAAACGGATGAAGATGGCCCGTTTATAGGTGATAAACATGATGATTTACCCATTGAACATGGTGAGGTTCCATGGCTACGTTAAATTACCAGAGGGTAATCCCCATCATATCCCCTATAAATCCCTATAAATCCCCATCATATCCCCTATAAATCCCTATAAATCCCTATCAATCCCCATTGTATCCCCTATAAATCCCTATAAATCCCCATCATATCCCCTATAAATCCCTTATAAATCCCTATAAATCCCCATGGTATCCCCATAAATCCCTATAAATCACCTATAAATCCCTATAAATCACCATAAATCATCATTATATCCTATAAAATAACTATAAATCCTTATAAATCACCATAAATCATCATTATATCCTATAAAATCACTATAAATCCTTATAAATCACCATTAAATCCCCTATAAAAAATATGATTTTCCCAACAAACAGCCACAGCCACTGCCCAGGAGTCGGGAGAGTCCTCCAGCTCCAGTGATTGTCCTCAGATTTTCTGGTTTTTGTGAGCCCAACTTGCAATTTAACATAGCTGTTTTTACCCTTTGGTTATTTAACATAGCCATGGTATAGATTGCCCATAGAAATAGATGGTTTACCGAACTTAAAAATGGTGATTTTACCTATTAAAAATGGTGGATCTTTCCATGGCTATGTTAAATAACCAGATGGTAAATGGACCTTTATATGGCAGTGTGTCAAAACCTTGTACCCCTGTAGTTCACATCAAAATAGCTGGTAAATGGATGTTCATCCCACTAAAAATGGTATTAATAGGTATTGATCCATAGCCATATAGTTCCTAAAAATACCGTAATTTAGTAATTTACATGTAGTTCTTTAATTTACCATAAATTACCTATGGAAAGATGGTGATGTTCAATAACAAAGCCTTAAAATGACCAGCTTGAGCATGGCTTTGGCGACAATTCTGGGACCCCAAACTCAGAGCCAATGGTTTCAACTTTGTTGAGGTTTTCTGCCATTTCAACTGGGGGGTTTTCCGCAACTTTGGTCGGCCGTTGCCTGCCTTGGGGTTTCCGCCAAGGTGACGAAGATGAGGAAGACAAAGATACTGACAGGACGAAGTCACCGAGTTGTCATCCATTTTTTCTGAGGAAATTTTTGATCCTAATAGGGTACGCATTCTATAAAGTACCAAAAAAAACCAAAAGTCTATGTTAGTTAAAAATAACTGGTATATAATTAATATGATCCCATTCTTGTATTCTTCGTCATGTACAGCCAAGATTATGTCATCAGAACAGAAGTAGCCCTTGAAAATAAACTTCGGTGGTATCCCCAACAGCTGCAACGTTTTATTTTTGCAAATCTTTCTGAAGCGTGCTGCGAAGCCAAGCGCTGGAAACACATCAGCTGGGTTTCCGTGAGTTAAATGGCCGCAAATCCTGTTGAACCTAACCTGGCTCTGCACCAAAGCCTCCCACACCGGAGCCTGTTGAACCTGACCTGGCTCTGGACCAAAGCCTCCCGGAACCTTCTCCAAAACTTCTCCGGAACCTCGTTGAACCTGACCCGGCGCCTGCACCAGTGCACACTGGAGCTATTCAGGGCTGAAGACCCCATTAGCGCGGACGCTGTTGGGAAAAAACATTGGTTGGGTAGCTTCGGACTTTTTTTTTGCAATATTGGTTTGTCCTAGAATAGGATGAATAGGGCACCCCCAAACTTGATAGTTAACCATCATTTTCCCTATAAAAATGGGCATGTGGGGATATACCTCATTTTCAGGCAGATCCATATGTTGCTCAGCTAAGAATGATACCTTTTTGCAGGGCAACGCGTCAGCCAACAGGAGAGAAGGAGAAGCTCTTGAGGCGTGGCTGTGGGGACACGGAGATCTAATCTTAATAGGGGCCCCAAATTTCCACGTAAAATAGGCTTTTTACGATAGTTTATACCCTTCATATGTGTACTGTTTTGTTTTCTGAAAGATGCTTCTGTATTTCAGTTTGTTTAATTTGTTCCTGTTACATTCCTATTCGATGCTATTTGGTTCTTGTTTCATTTGATTCATTACGGTGTTTGTGAAAAATAGTATAATAGGAGTGGTTGTAGGGTCCAAATCCTTTGTTCTATATAAACTGTTCTTCCAATGGTGTCTGCACAGCTGCTTGGAAGTAGACCCATGGCAAGCAGCATACTCAATATGCGTATATATATATATATATGCGTCTATGTGTTAACAATACCTAACGTTTAATAAGATAACAAACATGACTCTCTTCTTTGCTAAGGCAGATCCCCTTATAACATAACCATTGAGAATTGCCAATGCAGTAGTTTATCTGTATTGATTTGATTGTTTTTTTTTTTTTAAATATGCACAAGTGAAGTTTGGACATTACAACATCATGGGAGGTGCAAGCACTTGCACTTGAAAAGGATGTATGAAGGGTTGCAACTTAACACCTCACAAAACTGTTTCGGTTTCAACATATAACTATCCAGTATAAACCAGCAGGATTGAAGTTAATCAGCTGGATCATCAAAAAAAATAAATAAATAGAATGTGAGCGTAGATCTCAATGGTTATCTCAATAGAAGAGTGCATCACAAACTAACAGTAACCATACAGGGGCATGCAGCACATCAGTCTAACATATAAAGTGTGTACATGGGGTATGTAAGGTCACTTTTGCTCAATCATCACAGAACGACCGGGTAAAGTCAATCCCACATGCATGTAGCAGAGATCAGTTTCAACCCAACACATACCGGAACCATTCCATCAACTTAGAGTTTTGAGACAGGAACCACTTTCAAGAAATCCTTGTATGCATGCTACTCTTGCCAAGAGGAGTCACCTTGATAAACTGAAAGTTGCATTGGCTTATACATGCCTCTCTCCCAAAACAACAGTGCAAACCAACAAAGAGCGTACTGTAGAAATAGCATCAAATACAAACAATACAAATGAAAACATATTTGCACATTGCATGTCGTTATAGTTTCAGAACTGCATGACTGTCATTAAGGAACCCTTGCAAAATGGTGAATTGATGTCGTACTAACAAAATCTATGAGTGAATGTGCTCATCAAATACTAATGTGTTCAACCTAAATAGCTGTAGCCTGTAGTTGCCTTAGAACGATATCCAAGAATATGCCTACATACAGCCATGGCCAGGAGCAAATCTACAATACAAAGTGAAACAGGTTTAGAGATTAGAGCCAAAACTTATGCAAAAACTTTTTTACCAATAGGACAATAGTGGAAAATTACGTGTTTTTTGAAGGGTATTGTTTATCAGATCAAATTAGTGTAAAAAGGTTTGTCCTGGTTTTCTTTGGCATTATCCTCCCCAGGCATATTGACAAATAATAAATGGAAGTAATCATTGCACCTTGTGATGCATTGCCATCTTTTGTTCTAAACTTTGGAAGACCATGGCACTATTGCTGACTGTATTTAAAGTCTGAATTAAACATGATCATTCTTTAGACTTGCACTGCAACTAAATACCTAAACAGCTCGATGAGAGCTTAGCGGCCACGCAGATGATGAAGCTAAATCATGCAGCAGGTTGCTTCATTGAAATGACATCAGATTAGTTGACAGGCTAGCAACCAAAGATAACATGTTTTTTTCAATGATATTTGTTTCTTTTGAAAAAATGTCAAGAAAACTCGTTGCGGGAGATGCGTCCGTAATCTGATGAACCAGTGAGCGTAAGTTCAGAAGCTACAAAAGATTCATGGCAAAAATATTGAAGCTGCATGTATGTAACTGAAGATTGGAAGCTCCAACAATTTTCAAATAGAGAGTTTGAAATTTTGGAATGATCCAAATGAGGATGTTCAAGTTCCCAAAAGTTCCAAATGAAGGTTTTGAAGCCTTGGGAAGCTCCAAATAAAGGTCTTAAAGCCTCGAAAGGCTCCAAATGAAGATTTTTAGGATCTGAACCGGCTCCGTACGGCCCCCGACGGCTCTGAACGGCTCCGAACAGATCCGGACGATTGCCTAACGTTCCATAAAAAAAAAGAATCTAGTACATAGCTTCTGGGGGGGGTCAAAAAAGAAATGGGACCCCACTCTCCAGAAGCTATGTCCTGGATTTAGTATTTTGTTTTTGTTTTTTTTTTTAAGCTCATTCCTTTTCATGGGAGTTTCTAGGAATCTTTAGGGATCTCTACGGAACTTTGGGGATCTCTGGGGATTTCGATCTTTGAAACTCCGTCGGGATTTCTGGAGATATCTTGAGATCTCTTAGAATCACTCATAGCTTGAAGGAAGAACAAGAGATTTGTCAAGGAAATATTACGACTTAAGTGTTTAAAGTTATACGTACGTGTTCATGGTGTAAAATGTGCTCATGATATTGAGGAACATGATGTAATTAAGGGTCTTCAAGTATAGATTCGATCAACATATGGATGAAAATGATATACAAAACATGACAAACCAATATGATGTTCCAAAAGGCAAAATGGGGACCCTATTTGGGGATTTTCTGAAACAACCATGGTTTCTAGGGGGTGTTTAGTATAATGGGGAAGGGATTACTGGTTTATCATGTTTCCTGATTTTTGTTTCAATCATATTCTGTATGTCATCAATGAAACGGATTTTGCTTGAACACATAATTCAATCTGTCTATTTGGGTGTGCCCGCAATTCATTGGGAATCCCCGAATTTATCATCATTTGAGAATATGTATATATATAATATATGATATATAACATTGAATATACCCATCAAATATCAAAAATTATGATATACCCTCTGGTTATTTAACATAGCCATGGAAAAATCCACCATTTTTAAGTTCGGTAAACCGGTAAACCATCTATTTCTATGGGGCCATCTATACCAATAGCTATTTTGACATAACCAGAGGGTATAATTCACCCATCAAATCCCCAATTCATTGGGAATATGCTCCATCATCGCAGGCCACTGCCTGCGATGCATTGGAGGTGGGACGATCTTGGACGATCTTGGCCATGGCGGTTGGGATCTTCAGAATGTTTTATTAAAGACAAAGACAACATATATAGACCAATATTGACCAATATTAAGGATTAGCCTATCTTATTTTAATATTAAGGATTAGCCATGATTTATCTGGTCATGATTCCTGTTCTCCCAGGTCCTGGAGCCGCAGTTGGAGCCGCAGTTGGAGCCAGATGGTGCGGCTGGTGAGACCTGGGTGATCACTTCGAAGCAGCCTTGGTGATGGTTTTTCTAGTGGTTAGTAATGGTTGGTAATGGTTTATGGATAATGTGAAAAATGATCTTTAACTGGTGGTGACTGGAACCATGGAATTTGGATTGACTTTCCAGAAACAGTTGGGAATGTCATCATCCCAACTGACGAAGTCCATATATTTTTCAGAGGGGTAGGTTGAAACCACCAACCAGAATCAGTTCGTATCTCCTCATGAAATTTCCGAGAAACGAATTGGCTATGAAGGGGACCTACCCTCCGGTCAATTCACAGTTTGCGAACTGGAAAATCACAATTTGCAATAGGTAGATCAACGGCTATAAATGGCCATTTCCAATAGCTACGTGAAACTACCAGAGGGTATAACTATTGCAAGTTCATTGATATGAATGTCATTTGTCGTTGGATTATATAATTCCCAGTTGATAAAGTTATGTTTCGGTTCTGAGCCACTTGCAGATGCTTGAAATTGATATTACCCTCTGGTAATTTAACATAGCCAAAAAAAATGGCCATTTATAGTGAGTTTTCCCATTAAAAATTGTGATTTTCCATAGTTATGTTAGTTTCCCAGAGGGGTGCACTCTCCCTTTGGCTACCACCCTATGAAGCATGGTGGCGCCCGTTCTTTTTTGTGATCCAGGCCACTTCCAGGACAGTTGGAGTTGACCAGTTTGCGATGGAAGCCATGACCGATTTATGGATGATAAACATGATGACATGAAAGTTTCCATAAATGGTGGTCCCCCCACATGGATGGTTTATCATGGAAAATCCTATTAAAATGATTTAAAATGGATGATTTGGCGGTACCCCCATAAATTGGAAACCACCATTAATACCTATGAAACATGGTGATTTTCCAGTTCGCTATCTTGAATATCACCAGATGCTGTTGACCTGGGATGATCCCCAAAGGGGTATCACTTGCTGAGGGAGTGTCGGACACCGCAGATTCCTAGGAATCCCTTGGTTTAGAAAGCGTGGTGTCTCAGGCTCATCCCTTTAGCCCCTCATTTTTCATAGGTTTTTCATTGGGCCCTGGGGCCCCCAGTCGAGCTCGCTTACTCAGTTGCCGAACAGAGATTTGTGGCTGAAAAAACCATGGTTTATGGTAGATTTTTGACGAACTAGTTTTCATGGGGGTTACTAGTATCTGATGGTTTATAAACCAACAGCAACACATAACTGGGGGGCCCCATCCTGTAGAGGATTTGTAATGATTCATAGATATTTGGGACCTGAAAAACCATGCTTTTTCATTGAGGATTCATAAATATTTGGACCATTTTGGAACCACAAAAGTCATGGAGCTGTGACCAAACAAGCCACCGGGTGATCCTTGAACTCGGAAGGTGAAGAGCGATCGAGGTGGGGCCACCTTTTGCACCTTTTGAACATCGACAGGGATGATGGCCATAGAAAGTTCGTTGATTTAGCCAGCTACCTACCTACCCTCTGGTAAACGTTTCCAGTTTGCTATGGAAAATTGCCATTTAGTTCGTTGATTTTCCCAGCTATAAAGTGGTGATTTTCCATCGTTTTTTGGTAACGTTTACTCTAGAGGGCATCCCTCCGGAATTTCCGACACGAATCTTTGGGAATCCACCGTGAGGCAAAAGCGTCGACGAAGACGAAAGGCTGGAACCATAGATTAAGGTCGTCTTCAAACTATGAGCATCCCTTTGCTATGTCAATCTTACTAGTCTTTTGGTATCAATGGGAATATCTACGTTCACCAGCAAAGAATTTGTCATTTTTTGCAGGGTATCTAAGATTGGCAATGTTTGGGTGCCGAAAATGAACCACGTGATACGAGCCCAGCGGCGCATGGGAAATTCGAGTCCAATTCGATGATTTGTTCACCTGATTCCAAGATTTCCATGTCCATTTCCAGGTAAAACCCATGGTAAAACCAAAACGTGAAGCCCATATAATGATACCCTCTGGTTATGACTAACAGTTTGCGAACTGGAAAGATCCACCATGCTATTAATAGGTAAGCCATCTATTTCTATGGGCCATTTTTCCATGGCTATGTCAAATAACCAGATGGTATATTCCATAGAATTCCAAATATGAATCCATAGTAACCAGCTAAATCCAACCCAACTTATCCAACTTTTCCCCATTGATTTCCCATTTTGATCTTCAGATGGACGAGACCGGCCAACCGCAACGGCACCTGAAACGCCGCAAGCGCCGCGAGCGCGGCGCGGCGCACGCCACGCACACCCCCGCGCCCGCCACTGCGCCAGCGGTGGTACAGCGGCAGCCCGGGGGCCTAGAGCGACCTGCAAGGGGATCAACATCTACAGTGGTTACCCTCCGGTAAACATACAAAAAACGATGGAAAATCACCATTTTTGATGGGAAAATCCACTATTTCTATGGCAATTTTCAATAGCTAATGTTAAATTTTTCAGAGGGTAACCACTATTGGTGGAGTATCATGGTGAACCACTATTAGGAATTGTGTTAACAAAGTTAACAACACTTCTAACCACCATAATTGGTGTTTTTTTTCACGCCTATATCTGAACACTTCAAGTGGTTAAGACTATACTTGGAGGAGCACTGCAGAGATTGTAAGTGGGGTGGACAGTGGTTACCCTCCCGTGACCATAGATTCCCATGGTTGAAAGGCCATCATTCGAGCTGATCATTTTCTTCGATCATTCGGGAAATGTTGTGGTAACCCAATATTAATGGTTAACTGGTTGGTGGTTTCAAACATTTTTCATTTTCCATAATCTATGGGATGTCATCCTTCCCATTGATGAACTCCATCATGTTTCAAGATGGTTATTGCACCACCAACCAGTATATTCCATTAATATTCCATTAATATTTCAACTGACTTTCATATTTTTCAGAGGGCTTCAAACCACCAACTAATAATGGTTAACAATATTCCCCTCTGGTTATTTAACATAGCCATGGAACATGGCCCATAGAAATAGATGGTTTACCTATTAATAGCATGGTGGATCTTTCCATGGCAAACTGTGAATGTCATAACCAGATGGTATAATATATGATCATCATTTTCCCATTATAACATCCATGAACTATAGTTATATCTACCATAAACCATAGTTAATTCAGCCACTTATAAGACAACTGAAGGCTGGGTTTTGTAGATCTATTAGTGATGAGTGGTTTTTTCCATCACAAACGGAGGATCCCCAGGGATCACAAAAACAAAACGCATCGGGAGTGGTGAACCGTAAACCGGTAGTTTTTTTTTTTTTTTTTAAATGCCATTTATAGAGGGTTAATAAGTGGTTCATAATTGTAGCTGAAACATAAAATTTTTAAAATCACATCATCATGACATGATATGCATTTATTATTTTAACCATGATGATTATGATGGTAGATATGATGGTTGATATGATGATAGTAACCATAGTTAGTTCGCTCATTGGTAGGTGGGATAAACCACTTTTGTCGACTTCGACTTACACCGATAGATCAAGTTCGCAAAGTCATCGAAGTAAATTTTACGTAAATGGTGAATTTTCCAGCCATGCTTGACTACCAGAGGGTTACTAATACGTGAACACACTGTAGATATATCATATGTCTATAGTTAAAAGATGGAAAGGGAGTTTGATTGACTGGCCACGGAAGTGATCAGAGATTTATGGGAGATATATCTATAGTCAACACAGCCTATGAAAACATGGCATGATCAGCAGCCACAGCCACCAAGATGACCAATTTCAATCAGTTGGATCCTCAAAGTCTCGAAACATGAAATTGCAAATCGGCAATATTGCCTCGTTGTTTGCCTCAAAACGATGATGATGATGATGATGATATAATACATAAATATAAATATAAATATAATAGTATAAATATAATAATATAGATATTTAATAGTATAAATATGAATATAAATACAAACATAAATACAAACATAATAATATATATATATATATATATATTTATTCGTCATCATCCATTTGCCAAGAAGTGCCACCTACTATATTTTTTTTTAAACAATGGCGCGCAATTTTGGTGAAGTCGACGGGCAGCCCAGGGCCTCTCGCAGTCGAAGTGCCCCAAGGCCAATGGTGGTTTCCATAAATGGATCCTCAAAATGAATGTTTTATAATGGAAAACCCTATTAAAATGGGTGAACTAGGTGTACCCACATGACTTGGGAAACCTCTAATTTTGGGGGGGATTCAACTACGAAAAATGGGGAATTTGCCCCTAGAACTTGGGATTGAGATGTCGGTGTAAGAAATAAAAGGATTCGACCCTAACGTATGGGGGATTTACCCTCTGGTAGTGACTAACATAGCTATTGAAAATTACCATTTATAGTGGATTTACCAATTGAAAATGGTGATTTTCCATAGTTATGTTAGTTTACCCGAGGGTAAACATAAAACATTGTGTCAACCAATCATTATCTGGTATATTGTCATAGCATTTTAGACTATATATATATATATATCCAAATAGACTTACTTGTTGGGTCATATGACTGGCAGATTTCACTTCCCTTTAGTTTAAGTGTAAGTGGAGTGGCGGAAGGGGTGAGCACTGCCACATCCATATCTCCCGCAAAGCATCAGGTGAAGAATTAGTCGAATGATATATATATATATATAAAAATCATTAATCGCATTATATATATATATATATATCAATACATATATATATATGGAGGTTTCCTGAAATAAATAGGGGTACCCCTAAATCATCCATTTATAGATGGATTTTCCATTATAAACCATCCAGCTATTGGGATACCCCCATATACAGGATCGTGCCCCCGTTCGATAGCGCTCAGTTGGTGCAAATAACTCCAATTTCACTATGGTTTTTGTCGGTGATATATCTATAGTTTTCATGGGCTTATAACCAATTTATAACTGGGGGGGGCACTACCTTGTATAACTGGTTGGTGGTTCATTCATGTTATTTATCCATACATTGGGAATGTCATCATCCCAACTGACTCATATTTTTCAGAGGGGTAGGTTGAAAACACCACAGATAATATTATGTACATATATAACTGTATATATAATACTGGTTGGTGGTTTCAAACATTTTCTATTTCCCATAATATATGGGATAATCCTTCCCATTGACTTTCATAAAAATCAAAATGGTTAAAACCACCAACCAGTTGTTATTTATTGCTATTATTGATATTTCTGGGGATTTCCTAAGTCATATGGGTACCCCCAAATCATCCATTTTAGTAGGATTTTCCATGAAATAAACCAGGTATATATATATATATATTAATACATATCTCCCTCTGTGTATGGTGACCTCTCGCGACCCCGATTTTCTGCAAGTCTGAATTGGAAAAAGAAGCGAAATGCCTAGGGACAATTTACACATATGAAGCATTGGTTTGCATGGTATGATTGGATACATGTAGATCTTATTATTGGCCAATTATGATCGAAGTTCTGGATTCGACAGCAGTTCAGCATTCAGTTATATTGCAGGGCCGTCGAGCCGAAACCTCCCTTGCAAAGAAAGCGTGGCCGGGCGACCCAGTCTACCTGGATTTTCGTGAGATGTTGATGCAGACGTGGGTCCACCATGCCCGTCCAAAAATTGGGTATACTCACCCAAAAATCCCATTATGGATCCTCCAAAATATCATACATATATCATGTACAAATATCATATATATATATCTACACATCACATTAAATAACACACACGCACACACACATACACACATATGTATATATCATATTATATATATGTATATGTATATATATATATCGGTACATATATATATAAATATGTATGTATATATATGTATATGTATATATGTATGTATATATATATATGTTTATACATATGTATGTGTATATGTACATATATATACGTATATATATATATATATTCTAATGTATATATATATATATACGTATATATATGTACATATGCAGATATACATTGAAATATGTATATATATACATTGAAATATGTATATATATATGTCTATATGTAGATATACATGTATAAATGCATAGTATATACATACATTTATGTATGTATATACAAATGTGTATATATATAAGTATATGTATATATGTATGTATACATATGTATACATATGTATACATATGTATATGTATGCTTATACGCATATATGTATGTGTATATATGTACACATATATATATATATATCATTTGTGTATAGCGATACATTTACATTAAAATGTGCATGTATACATACATATATATATACATACATACATATATATATACATATATATATACATATACATGTATGCATATAGATTTATGTAGATATGTCATCTGTAAAAAAGATGCAAGGCTATGATATCGACCTATTGTCAGGCCCAGAACAGCAGGGCATTCGCGTGAGGCCCCGTGGATGGCGATGGAATGACGGACACAGGACTCAAACATCTGGGGTTACAACAAACATTGCGATAATTAGATGACTACATATACGTATATATATATATTATAGAATGACATAAGCATGAATTAAACACATGTATATAATTATATATATATACACACACATTATACAAACAAATAGGGCTAGAACCCTGGTAGTGATGGATTTAACCATCACACGGGGTATTATTTGGATATAAGTCACCAACAAAATGATTTACTGGTGGTTTAATGGTGATTCAATGGGATTTAATGGTAATTTAATGGTGTTTTAATGGTGTACCCATTAATAGCAGGGTGATTTTCCATTGTTTTTTGTTAACGTTTACCAGAGAGTAATCCCTTTCCCCGTTCATGTTAAGCACCACCCAAAAACCATGGTGAAAAGTAGGGGATAATGATGCGGCTTTGGGACTGAATGGGGCTGTAATTCATTTTCAGGGGGGATGGGAGTAATTTTTTTTGGCGGAGAACCACATTTTCAGGTGGTTTCAAGTGCAAGTGTGATTTTGCATTTTTAAATGCAATGATTCAATGGTCCGTATCCGTATGGGCTTTCAAACAATCGTTTCCGTCTCAACCACTAATCAGTTTGATTCTCTGCTCGGATGCCTCATTGATATGTCCAAATGTCCAAAATAGTATTAGTTCCCCTGAAGTCCCCTAAATCTATTGGCCTGCCAAGGTTCATAATCAATTTCCCTAGCCACAAAACGTTAAGAAGACCCAGATCTTTGGCCAGTCATGGGCCAGGGTGGAAAATCTGCCGTCCGACATGAATCTGGAGGAGTTCAGAAATACTGGGCTGGACTTTGGTGAGGTGACGCCGGAAGATGGATACAAAAAACAAAGAAAGAATGGAGAAAATGGTGCTTGGGAATGATTAACATTGATCTGGTTGCTGGTTTCAAACATGAATGGATTATGAATTCCATTTCATATATGGGATGTCATCCCAACCCCATTGACCAACTCCATCATTTTTCAAGATGGGCACATTGCACCACCAACCAGCGATAGACTATGTGTCAATCCCAAGATGTGAACACAAAATTTGGGTCAATTTGACCGACCCCTCTGCAATTGAAGACTGAAGTCTGTTCTGTTTCAACCGAAGTTTGGATTTACCCTCTGGTTATGTCAAAATAGCTATTGAAAATGGCCATGTATAATGGATTTACCCATTAAAAATTGTGATTTTCCATAGTTATGTTAGTTTACCAGAGGGTAATAGCTAACAACTACACCTTCCTACATCACGAAAGCATACGAAAGCGGCAAATGTTGATCTCCCCCAGCTTCTGGGTGTGCAATATGGGGCAGCCATTGTTTCAAGAGGGGGTTGTCTCCAACATCAAACCATTCAAGCGACTCAGATTCCGACCAATCCCATGAATCTCTCCGACCTCAAAATTCAGCATTGAAATGATCCTCATTTTTGCCATTCCCATGAAAAATCCAGCCATCAACGCCATGACGTCCGCTACACGAGGTGATTGAGGTGAAGCTTTGGAAGACCAAAGATGGTTCGAAGACCGGTCGGATGCAACGGATGATTGGGAAGGGTTGGAGTCCGTTTTATGCAGGGGAAGATAGGACTTTCTTTATGAATACCCCTCTGGTAATTTAACGTGGCTATTGAAAATACCCCATTTATAGTTGATTTTCCTATTCAAAAATTATGGTGATTTTCTATAGTTATGTTAGTTTACCAGAAGGTAATTTATAAAATATTTAGCCATACAGGATGCGGCCCCCCCAGTTGATAGCGTCCAGTTGCCTTAGAACAGTGGCTGAATTCCATGGTTTATGGTAGATATATATAACGAACTCGTTTATGCGGATTACAATGGTTTATAAAACAACAAACATAACTGGAGGGCCCATCCTGTAGCAAATGATACTGATCATGTCAATTTTTCATTGTAAAGGAGATTGAAGCATACTACAAGTGGTAAGAGTGATGACTGTCCCATGAAAATCCATGAAATATATATATATATAACATTTCAACACGTTAAGCTGCAATCGGAAGATGTGGACAGGTCAAAGGTCAAAACATATTTTGTTCCTATGATTTAGGGAATAAACATCCATTACCAGCTATTCACCGGTGTGAACAGCAGGGTGGAAGTGAAACAAGTGTTGACAGTTTACCTGTGATCAACTGATATAGTTATTCACCAGAAAAAACACATTCGCAGTAATATCATCAGAATTCATTGTGAATAATCCCTTCCCCCGTTCATATTGAACACCCCCTAAACGAAACCATGGTGGTACCACATTTCATTGGGACCAAAAGCAATTGGGGTGTGACTAATATGAAAGGCCGATGGGATTATAGAGGAAGCCCCACTATTTGGCTAGGTCTTCGGTTTCGACTTTGTCTTCAACCAACTCTGGTCTCCCAAATTTCGAGAAATCTCAAGTCACTGCGAAATGCAAATCCGTTTTAGCAATACCCTCTGGTAAACTAACATAATTTTAGAAAATCACCATAATTTTTGAATAGGAACCACTATAAATTGGGTATTTTCAATAGCTATGTTAAATTACCAGAGGATATTTGGTGTACACATCTGAACAACACAAGAAAAACATGCAGACCTTGATCCAATTGCAGCGATGTACAAAACCAACAAATGTTGGCAAACCTTGATCCAAAATCGGTCAGCAGCTGCATTCTTTTGTAAAATTGGAGGTGTATCTTACTCCAGCCAGGTATTTTTTGCTTGGCATCTAGACTTAGGCATGAATATGCAGGCGCTATATAGCAACTATTCGCAATATTGATCCGTTTTCAACCAACTATTAAGAACAATGATAGGGCAAGACTCTGAGTTTTTTTTTTTTAAATGTTATATTACAAACCATTAGACACCCATATTCTCAACAACATCAATGAATCAATATTATAGTGTGGATGGAAAACATCCTGCGCCAGTTGGAAGATGGTTCATTGTCTTATCCCATTATCATGAACTTGTGCAGGATTCTGCCCACCCACAGTATGATTTATTACCAACCAACCATGAGTCTCTCACAGAATCCATTGCTGGGGATTATTTGAGTCTACATTTATATAAGAGATATTTCCAGTCATAGACACATGGTTTTTATATGTTTTTATCCCAATGTTATCCCAATGACTCATGTGTTTTTTCCACCCCAACGCTACTTCGAAGCCCGAAAAAATGCGCCCAATGGGACGAGGGAATTTCAGGACCTGCGCAGTTGCGAGTGGCGGACCAGGTGATCATCTGACTGTCCCGATGAATTTTGATGACTTTGATGCTTCAAACTCTTGGGCCTACCCTCTGGTTATGTCAAAATAGCTATTGAAAATGGCCATAGAAATAGTGGATTTTCCCATTAAAAATGGTGATTTTCCATAGTTATGTTAGTTTACCAGAGGGTACCAATTTGTACGGTTTTTTTGGAAGTCACGGTTTGGTAAACCAGTAGACCCAATGAAACAAAAACAATGACCCCAATTTTATATAGTCTTAAGGTAGATATAACATGATATTTTACAAACAACAGCAACACACGGGGTTTATAATGATAGAGCAACAGCAACAACTCAGGTCACATCACCTTCGTCGAGGGCACCGATGTTGCACGGGTGGGCACCGAGATAGACCGGGGAGATATGGAGATGGAAAATATGAAGGTACCATGGATATAAGTCACCAAGAAAATGCTGGTTTAATGGTGGTTTAATGGGATTTAGTGCTGGTTTAATGGTGGTTTAGTGGGATTGACTGGTAATTTCATGGGATTTACCCTCTGGTAAACGTTAACAGTTTGCGAACTTGAAAATGACCATAGAAATATATAGTTGATTTACCCATTAAAAATAGTGATTTTCAATAGTTATGTTGAATTACCAGAGGGTAAATGGAACATTAGTGGGATATAGATCTAGTTGGGTTTTTTTGTTGGATTTTGAATATCATGGATGAACAAGTGGACAATGGGAGGTGTAAGCCAAGAACAATGATGAAACAATGGGGATGCAGCGGGGATGCAATGGGGTATAATGGAGATCTAATGGGGATCTGATGGTATTTTGACGGGAATCTAGTGGAATAATCTACCCAAAAGTCTGATATCGGTGTCTCTGAACATGGGATATTTGGATCCCAAGTGCCCTTCAACAAGAGGGAAAGTGATGATCAAACATGAGATCTAGGGGGACCGGGGGACCGGGGGACCATTTTTCATACACACCCAGATGATATCACAGAAAAACAGCTGAGCACTTACTAAAGATGGGACAGTTTTCTCCGAAAACGACCAACATCACTGGTTGGTGGATTGGAACATTTTTTATTTTTCCATATAGGGAATAGTAACCCAAACTGACTTTCATATTTTTCAGAGGGGTCGAAACCACTAACCAGATCAACATTCACGAGATACTGTACACGCTGGTAAACTAACATAACTATGGAAAGTCCCCATTTTTTAATGGGTAAATCCACTATAAATAGGCCATGTTCAATAGCTATGTTTGTTTACCAGAGGGTAGATCAAGTCGAATCAAGTTGTGATGTTTACCCCTACTGTAGGGATGTTTTAGACTACACGGGGACAAAAGGGGCCCCGGTAAACACCCCTGATATTTTGGCACATGTTTATACTTTGTACATGCGTCTACTACAATGATGTTGTGTTACATGAAGATGTGGTTCATGTTGTCCTTGTGACATGGAGATGTTCGACCAGGTCCTCTATGGTTCATCTTCATGAAGTGACATAGGTGTTGATACGCTGGGTGTTGCTTGGGGGGCTTTCGGGGGGGTGGGGGGGTGTGATAACGTTCATGATAGTATGCTCTTGATGGGTCATCTTCATTGAAGGGACATACGTGTTGATACGCTGTGCACTTTTCGTGGTACATGAGTCGATGTGTTTCCTCGTGGTTCATGTACATGAAGTGACATACGCGTCCATATGCTGTGCACTTTTCGTGGTACATGAGTTGATATGTTTCCTCATGAGCTGAACAGGTTAGACACTGTCGCTCTGAGTTCACTCGAAAAATGCGAGGAAAGAAGAAGCGAGGACAGAGTAGAGTTGCTGGAACGCAGCAAATTGATAAGCTGTGGACATGGTGCGAAGGCTTCATTTGTGGCCGTGTAAAGACACGCGTCGATGGCCTGCCCAACCCACAGTTGTTCAGCCAAGCATATCAGTATGCATGGAGAAAGAACAATGTCGACAAGGACTTGTTCCAACTGTTGGCCACGGAACTGAAAAATTGTCGATAGAAGCAATTCTTCTCCAAAAAATAAAGTTTTGAAAATGATGGGGCGCAGAATCCCCTGCAAATATGATTGAAAGTGTGTTTTGGACCCCGTCCTCATGGCAGTTTGTGGCCATTTTCAAAGTAGCGATGTTCACAAAACACTGCGAGGGTTGAACAATCCATTGCACGCTGCTGGTGAAAACGTTGCTTTTGTCGGGGGCCTCGAGCCCCCGTGTTACCATGTTTTACTGTACGCGTTTTTTGACCAAGCAAAGTGGTGCTGAAATTTTGATGCTCAACCACTGCGGGAGCTGAAACATCCAGTGGCCAGTAGCTGTTTGGATACTGGATGACCCCCACTACTATTTGAGACACCGATTGGGTTTGCGGTTTGACTGTTTGACTGCTTACAATGATACGGAACAAAAAAACCGGGTAGAGCACTTCCAAAGTGGATGGTTACCCCCCAAAAAAACAATAAATTAGGTTCGGTTCCACTAATGAGTGGATTATACAACCAAAGTTGTTGGGGTTATAACACAACTTATGGAGGTTAGAATCCCATAGTTAGTTATACCCATTACTAGCCCCAAGTGCACGGCCAAGTATGGAACCCCAAAATCCCATCCTTGAAATCCTCACTTTCCCACGGCGATAGAATGACGGCCCGTCCCTCCATTTTGACACGCATCCATGTTCATAGTTTGATTTTCCATTGTTAGTTCTCCGTTTTTATATGTCTTGGAGAACGTCCGCAAATTCTCTGTGATGCATGATAGTCGTTTGTATCTCACTACATCCCGAAGTTCGGATGGAAAAAATGGACATTTTCCGATCATTCCCCTATGACATTTGCAATGAAATAGGGTAATGTGGGTAAAACAATGCATAAACCATCCCCCAGCCATCACAATTTTTATAGGTGATATGTTTAGCATTCCCAGTCTTGGGTGGTATGTTGTTTTACCCACATTATTTTATTATTGCTTGCCCCGTGTCTGATGATGTATCCCCATGAATTCCAGGTCCTGTCCAAGCTGGATAACCGCAGGGTTGAAGGAGCCGGAGGGAGAATTTCAGCATGAAAGGGCGCCTAAAAATCAATCTGTTCACTATGCCGATGGGTCAATAGCATTTTTTTCAATAAATAGATAACCCCCCAACATAGTCCTTTGTTATTCAATTATTCAAATGATAGTAATTAGTCTCACATCTATATATATATAATTATATATATATATATCGTTTCTATGGATTTGTTGGATGCAAAAAACTAGCATACGAGGGTGAAACGACCCAGACACACAAATCGTCGCCGGAGCATTCGTAGAGGACATTTTAATCCTTTACAACCTGATGATGATGTGGTTGGCAATGGTTAATACTGGCTATTAATGGCTATTAATGGTTATTAATTGTTATTAATGGTTATTAATGGTTATTAATTAATGGGTATTAATGGGTATCAATGTTTGATGATGTGATGATGATGATGATGATGATGATGACGATGACGATGACGATGACGACGACGACGATGTAACCCTTTACCCTACGTTTTTTCTCTTGTAACTGGGGCACCAACCTATCAACCACCACGGTGCTTGAAACGGTTCTTTCACAGCCAGGCTGGGATCGACGCTTACACTGCTTTGTAGCAAGCCACATGAGCAAGGTGGCTGGGTCAACGGGCTGGTGAAAGCTGGTCTTTTTTCTTTCTCCGTGATGGATTTGCTATATATGTCGGGAGATGCATATTACTTGAACGATCTTTTGTTGTGGCAAAGTACATAAAGATTATATATATATACACATGTGTATACATGAATAAATAAATCAATAAATAAATGAATATATATATATGTATACTGGGACAACACCTGAAGCGGTTGTTTTTTTTTGTGCTGGACAAGTTTCCTCGCTTCATGGCCCAGGTGTGAGCCAGGAAAAAAACAATTCACCGATGCGCGGTTCGCGATGGGTTTCGGGTCTCATCAGTTGATTCAGCAAAGAATTTGGTGGTTTTGAACATTTTCAACTGGAACTGGTGGTTTGGAACATGACTTTATTTTCCCCAATAATTGGGATGATGATCCAATCTGACTTTCATATTTTTCAGGGGGGTTGAAACCACCAACCAGATTTTCTCGGACTCTTTCTCGGATTTTTTTCTGTTTGTGAGTTTCTCTGGTTTTTTGATCGATGCAGTGCTCTGCTTCCTCTGTGGTTCAGCCCATGGGCACCAAATTCAGCATGTGAGACATGGAACCAGAGGATGGCGCAAAATTACACCTGCACAGACACGAAGCTGTCAGAAACAACCAGCACATCAGATGCAACATATGGGTATTCGAGTGTTTTTTTTTCCACCTGACCAAATGATTGATCATTTGAAACATTTGAAGCAGGGTGAACTTCCGAATGTTTTTGGAACGAATGACAATGACACATTGGCTGCAACGCAAGCGAAATCAATCGATTCCTGCCCTTGGTCTCGATGCAGCGCTTGGATTTGCCACAGGTGCACTTTGTGATCTTTCCCATATGCGAAGCATGGTGCTGGAATATGCACACCAACATTTGGCCGAAAAAAATCACCCAGTTTTGTAGGTAAATATACCAGCACCATGGAGCATATGGGTTTGTAGGATTTGTCTAGTATTTTTCCTAGGATTTTTGTAGTATTTTTGTTCTCATGAAAATGCCAACCACGCTGAAAAATCACACGTAGTTTCCACACTTGCAGTTCGTGCAGTGGTATCGCCCTGTCAGAGAAAAACAACATTTTTGTCGTTTCAGATCGTCGATGGTCCAACTCTGATGCTGGCTCAAAGCAGATAGCCCTTCAATCTTTTCATTTCATGGAAGGACTGGGTACTGGGCTGTGTATAGCCTAGCCTTTCCCAATCTCTTTCCATGGCTTTGGATGACCAAAGGTTCAAAGACCATTGCCTCATCGTCGTGGGCGCTGGCGGCAAGGCCGATGAAGTGCTTTGTCAACGACGACTCCAAGCTGGTGGACGTCTGGCACACTTCTTGATGCTTCGGCGGAGCCTCAAGAGTTTACCCGGCCTGGTGTCATCTGGTGTCCAGGGTATACCAAAAAACCATGGAAAGATCCACCATTTAAAAAAGCTGGGCAAATCAACTAACTTTCGACTGGGCCATGGCTTCCAGTTCGCAAACTGTAAACGTTTACCAGGCCGGGTAAATCCCATGAAATTACCAGTCAATCCCACTAAACCACCATTAGACCATTTTCTTGGTGACTTATATCCATGGTCCAGTTGAGTGAAAAATGGTTACCCTCTGGTAATCAAACGTGGCAATTTTTCACATCCTCGTGGAGGTTTAAATGGAAAATCATCAATGGGGGATTTCCAATTGCTTTCTTTGATTGCCAGAGAGTAAACACGTTAAACTAACCGTTAAACAGACGTTCAACAGACGTGAGTGATTTGATCATCAGCCTCGCTTTCCCAGGTAATTTATGTCATTTTTCCACATTTTGATGCACAAATTACCATTGATTCCTCCACCCTTTAAGGCCCAAAAAATGCCAAGGGAAAGTTTCTGCCAAGGATGCGCTGTCCAGAGGATCCACGAGTGACCTTTTCGATCACGGACGATGGCTTGCAACATGACTTCTTCACATGGCAGCCGCCCAAGGGCACCATGGGAATCTCCAGCTTTGCAGCGAAGTTGCAGGCAAAACCTCGGACCTTTTGGACCAAAAATGGGCTGCTTGGCGCAGCTGATGCACTGCTTGCTTTTGTATCTTTTGTGTTTTAAAGGAGGACAGAGTTACTGGATGGGTGTGGCTAGTTCATTTAGAACTTCATCTCTTGCGATTAAAATATGGTAAATCTGGATATATGAAGCTAATTAGACAAGACGATCTGCGTGTTTTTTTTTTTTGCGGACTATCTTAGATCGGCAAAGTGTTGATGTTGATCAACCCAAGTGGAGAATCCTATTGGGAAGAAATCACCCTCATGGACATTAAATGAACTGCTATTGGAATTGTCAGTCAAGACTACAATTTTGCTTGATCATCAACCAAGAGTGGATAAATATTGCTTGATGCTGGTTCGAGACTGTAATTGTTGGTTGGTTGATATTCGTTTATCCCTTCACCCAAATATGAAATATGAAATACCGGTACCCTCTAGAAACCCCGGTTGAGTATAATTGCTTTGTATTGGATCTGTTCATAGAAAAGCGCCCCTTTTCGGGGTTATTGATGTTGGAGGGAAGGATTGTCAACCAACTATTGGCTATCCAAACAGCCACAAAACGGGCAACTATTAATCAACTACTATATAGAAAAACAAACTAATCGCTTGTTCTTCAACTACTGTGGATTGTTGCGAAATCCTGCACCAGTTGGTAACTTTTGGTAACTAAAATCAACACCAAGTTGATTTCATGGATTTTTTTGAGATATTATCAGGGGATAAACCATTACGGTAAGCCCGGTAAGTCTGATTCCAGCCTCGTTTTTTTTTGCCCCAACGTTTGGCGTTTGGGGCCCTCGCTCGACTCCAAGGCCTGATGGTATTGAGTTGGGAGAAACGCATTGCTTGACGGTTCGCTATGGCACCACGGGCACGCCTCGACATGTCACGGTGACAGATGAGAAGGGCAACATTTTGGTGGAGATGTCCGGGCAGGCTAATGGTTGATGCTTTGAAATGTTCATGGATGATGTTGAAATGGTGATTTACCCGGCCTGGTAAACGTTTACAGAACTATCAGAACTATATGGAAAAGCACCATTTTATAGCTGGGTAAATCAACTATAAATGGCCATTTTCCATAGCCATGTTGGATAAATCTTGTAAATGATGGATGATGCTTTTATTATCACCTACAAATTATGGATAACTATTGTAAATCAGACATTGTTTATGGTGATTTAGCTATCACCTACATTTTGAAGATAGGAAACACCATCACCACCACCAATCATCAGATGTTGATTTTGGTGCGACAAAACCCATTTTGGATGTTTTCTCACCGTGGCTGAGAGGTGGTGGTGGATCCAGACATGTACACGGCGGAGACCCTCCAGGTTGACGTCCACAACACTGAACTGACTCTGGTCGAGTCGAGTCGTTTCTCATGTCCTCCAGTGGGAAGATATTGGTTTATTCGGCTCGAAGATGTAGGTTTATGCTCCAGGAAACTAACTTCAACCATGGAACATTGACCATTTATAGATGATTTAGCTTCCAATCATGGTGATTTTCCATAGTTTACTGCAGGGTTTTTGGGAGATTTCAAAGGGTGAGACTCCTGACCCAGGAATGCTTTTGGAAGCTTCTCATGGCGTTTTGTAACACTTGCGGTGATCTTCCAGCTTCTGTGGCAGATTGGCAAGATCTCCTTATCCATCAACTTTGAGATGGCTGCGACTTCAGGTCGGGTGCCATGGTTCCGCAATTTGTTGGCCGCATTGAACTGGTGCTTGACCGGAAACATCATTTGCATTGAGATGACGGCCTTTGCATTAACAGGGACCCGGGCCACCATCAACACCCACGCTGTGGGGAATGTGGCTGCGACCCTTGCGATCATGGCGGTGGCTCCTTTGCAACTCAGCGAGTTCGTGCTGTGCGTTGTAGGAGTGACAGCCATGAGTCTTGGATATTTTGGATAGGGTCGTGCCGTGCGAGCGTTGAGTTTCTCTGATGGGGGAAGTTACTACTGGGTCGTGTCACTTATTCAATCTTAGTCCATTGCTTGAAATTACTGGCACTTATTTATACATATATTTGTTTGGCCTGAATCAAATCCAAGGATTTTGGTAGCACCCTTGGTCCACTACTACAACACCATTGGCGTGCATGAAAACCGACGCTTTCTCCCACACTTGCTCTGGACAATTGCGCAGCTTTCTGGAACTGTGGGATGCTTCGTGTTGTTTGGACTGATTGCGCAATCGTATGCCACGTTACTGGCAGCGGGTCAATCTGTAGCAGCCACCCTCTTCTTACCCTTCGGGACAGCCTTCGCGGAGACCGGAATGGTAGTCTTCACCCGTCTCATGTACAACCGCTTGGTGCACTCCAACAAGCTCGACCCAGAAACCGCGCCCTTGGTGGGTGACCAGCTCTTCATTCCGGCACCATGTTTGATCATGTCCGCCCATGCCTTCGCCGAAGGATGCCGTTTGACCGCCACGTTTTCTGGGGTCATCAGTGGGGGTGGCTGGGGATGGATTTCGACCTCCCTCCTTAGTGTTGCGTTGAACCTCTCCGCACGACTGGGGTGGACACGCTTCATGTTGCTCCAGCTAGGCAAGAAGATTTGCAATGGTCCCAAAGCCATGGCCCTTTTTGGGCCTACGGGCTGGAGTAAATACCATGATGAGTTGAAAATCTATGCAGGGTACTTTCGTTTTGTATCTGTCATAGCTCTGTGCGTGGCCAGACTCATTTCATATGGTGTTTTTGAAGTGGAAGGTTCAAAGGCCCCGGCCTTCAACTTGTCAGCCCTGATGGTCATCATCTGCCTTCTGGCCGCGGAATTCGTCGAAGATCAGGTTGTGACCAACGAGTTGTTGCCAGTGAATCCTGCAGGCCCGGGGCTGCTGAAGATGAATGCCAATGGAGACAATGCTGATCCAGCCCAGCTGATCACATTGGAACATCTGCACAATGTTCAGCAAGGGGACCCTTGGAGAATGTAGGACTTGGAGACGTCGGGCAAACTCTCCTTGAGGAGGACTACAACAAGTGACTCCGTGCCGTCAAAAGGCCCCGGAGAGGTCACTGCAACACCATCACTTGTCGTCCAACGTGCCTCGACAGCCACCATCGTTCCCCAGAAGGTTGTGTCCTTAGGCAGTTCAGAGACGGATCGATGGTCTCGATTGCGCAAGTGGTTTGGGCAGCCTAGATCTTTGAACTCATCACCTGCTCTCCATGGTTTGCGGGAACTTCCTTTTGCTATCCAACTGAGCTTCGTGGGCATCGTGTCTGAATTCACCCTGGGCCTCCTTGCTTTGTTGGTGGGTGCGGGCTATCTGCGTGGTACTTGTGAAAATGTCTTGGTGGGCTCAGACCGAATTGTGGGTCTGATCTATTGGAGCCTGCCGTTGCCCTGCTGAAGATGACTCTTTCGGTGCTGTTAAACATCACTGCCGGGGCATTCACTGGGTTTGTCGGAAAAGTAAGTAACACCAAACAAATCTTCAAAAATCCATCGTTAATCAATGTCACTCATCATTTTCCGTATTGAAATGAGGGCTACATACTACGTATCCCTCAGTTTTGGACAAAAAATGACAAACCCACTTAGTAACGCATGAACATGTGTGTTGAACTCAATGATGTCAGCCCACCTACTGGTCTTCGAAGTACGCTATGATGAAACGCGTGGCGCGCGGGCGCCCTTTTGACTGGTTGGTGGTTGGGTTGCTCCATTAAATGGATGTCGATGGACCTACACCGCCTATATCCCAATTACTGTCAATTTCAATGCGAAAATGAGGAACATGATAATAAAATATAATAAATAATAAAGTAAACTAACTACTGGATTCTGGGATACGCTACGTTTGGAGAAAGCCACATATTTTGTGCTTCCCCCCTTCTTCGCCATGAGGCCCAATGACTTTGACAATATCAAATTTCAGGCGGACCACCAACCAGAAGATGTTTCATTGTAGTTCACGGTTGATCTTCGCATAATGTGCGAAATATCTCTTTGGACGTTACTCGTAAGGAGATTGATGAGACGAGCTGAAAAAGATTGAAAAAGCCAGCAGATTCCAGCAAATGCCCAGGATTGCAGGAGAACTTACAGCTTTCTTATGGTTTTTATGGTTTCTTGCACCCATGTAGCCAGTATTTCTTTTGCCTCGACAGATGCAGGACTTGGAGAACTGTGGTTTGCAACAACGAGAACAGGTGCAGCTTCAGCCGCCACGTCCGATGCCACCGATTCCACGTTTCGGTCGACTGGCTGGCTTCAAGGCAATTCCAATCATGACCCAGATGCGAACCATGGTGCTGGTATATATAAAAACCATTAAACACCTACAAAACTGGTTGATTTTTTGGGTAAATGTAGGTTTTTATATGCCAGCACCATGGTTCGCATCTGGGTGACAGTTCTAAAAAATCAACCGTCATTGCCAGCAATTCGATGCGCACAGTTTGAAATCTCGGGATTCTCTGCGCAATCCTTTTTTGTTTTTGGCTTTTCAACAGCATAAAAGGCACTGTGTGTTCAGGAATCGTTGTTCCATTTTCCATATGGGCCATGGGGGGTTTCCTGGAATGGGGGTTACCCCAGCTGGATGATGCTGGATGGTTTATTTATAATTAAATTACATTATAGTATAGTTAATAGATATTAATAGAAAATCCCACTAAAATGGATGATTTGGGGGTACCCCTATTTTAGGAAACCTGCATATTTTTCAGAGCAATCGGAACACCGCCTTGCGGCATGGTACAGTAGGCCATTGCCGAGGGTGCCTGGCGTAGCCAAGAGAAGGACGTTTTTTATCAGGTCGCGTTTTGCGATGTTCATGTGGGAAACCTATTAATGTGGGTAAAACAATGCCATTTAGCCACATTAAACATCAGAGGATTGTCAAACGGTTTACCACATTATGAATGTGTTGTGCCTCAAAACATCATCCATAAGATATCCATTTTGGAAAAGACATTAATATACCCTCTGGTAATGACTAACATAGCTATTGAACATGGTCATTGATAGTTGATTTATCCATTGTGAAACTGCATGTGAAACAGCAGTGACATAGCATTCCACCTTTGCAGCATTCAGTCTTGCAGACATTCCATGCGCATCCCAGAGCGCTCTTTTGCCCAAAGAAAAAGGTGCCTCACTTCCCGCACGCCGCTGCCGGGATTTTGATGGTAAGCGGAGCCCTGTTCACTCAGGGCCTCTGCTAGCTGGTGCCTAAGGTTCCAGCCCCTTGCGCTCGCTGTGCAACCTGCTGGCAGCCCTGCGGCGCCAGCCTCCTACTACTGGTTGGAACTTCACCACTGAAGGTGTCTACAACCTCCCATGACTCCCTCTACTGCCTCCAAGATCATTTGCGATCGATACGGAGTTCCTCAGTATGCTGGCGAAGTGGAAGCTTTTGAAGAATATGTAGAGCGTGCCTGGGACTTGTACTTTGGAAGAGAAGGTCAGGAATCCCAGGTGTCCACTCCGATCCACCTTCGCTCAGGCCTTACAGGCCATGCATACGAGGCTGTCAGAAAGCTGGAGCACTCAAAGCTCCGAACTGCGACTGCTGAAGGAAAAGCCACTGAAGCGGGAATGAAGTTGTTGATTCAGACTCTCAAAGAGAGCATAGCAGCTGAGACGCCAGTGAAGATCAACGAGCTCTTCTTCACTGCCTTCTACAGCGCTGATGTCTGGAGAAAACCGCAAGAAAGCATGCAGCAGTATATCATCAGAAGGGAACAGGACTTTGCTCGTCTCAAGGAGTCCTCCCAAGAGACCACCGTCAGTGACAACCTGAGGTGCATGATGCTGCTGACTTTCAGCGGATTGGATCAACGTGAACAGCTAGGAGTTTTGGCTTCTGTTGGAAACGAGTACGACTTCAAGAAGGTCTCCCATGCGCTGAGGATCCAGTTTCCTCAGATCAGTGGCAAGCCAGTGTTTCGACGTGACTATCTAGGATGTGCACGTGGAGGTGGTCAACATGGCACTATGAAATCGGCCAAGTGGAAGGTCGGTCAGGGCAGGTTCAAGCAACATGCCTTCCTGGCTGATGATCAGGCCGAAGATGATGAGCCTGAATATGATGGCGATGGATATTACGAAGATGATGACGCTGAGGCTGAGGATGACGAAGCAGATGACAGTTACCTCACCTACAGCGACGATGATGGCCTTGATGCTTTGATTCAAGAATGTGGTGGATCGCTGGATGATCCGCATGTTGCGGAAGCCTTTGCAACTGTGGCTCAGTTCAGAGCCAAGAAGAAGGGTTCTGGGAAGAAGAAGCCACAGTCCAGTGGCAGCAGCCATAGCTATCCGTTCAAAGCTCATGGCGACATCCAGTTCGACACCAAGGCCAAGGAGAACCGGAAGAACGCCATCAAGTTTCTGAAGAGCATGTCAACCTGCACCTCTTGCAACCAACGAGGTCACTGGGTTGGAGATCAAGAATGCCCCAATTTCAAGCCGAAGGGGAAGGGAAAGGGTCAGAAACCGAAGAAGTCAGGATCTCCGAAGAAAGCCTCTCATGCCATGTTTGTTTTGCACGATAGTTTGGAATCTGCAGATGAGAACGAAGTTCGTTTTGCATCCTTTGGAAAGCTGCGACCTGTGCACTCCAACTCTGAGCCCAATGCATCCCTTGTGAATGACGCAGCCCCTGGGTATGACATCCCTCCAAAGAATGCCAAAGTTTTCAAGCCCTCCGCAGTTCCAAAGAATGACATGGTTTTTGAGAATGCCAAAGCCCCTGACACCACTGCAGTTCATGTGAATGCCCTGATCCCTGAAACCTTTGCAGCCAATGTGAATGCCAAGGTCCCTGACTCCAACGAGTACAAGGTTGATGGATCTCAGAACCAATGCACTGCGACAGAGAAGAAAGGCCCTGCTGTGCCTGATGGACCAAGACTTGCCGATGACAGCAAAAGTTTCACCGATACAAGTTTTCATGCGGAATGTTTCATGGTCTTGAAAGAGACCCAGCACTGCGAGCATCTGAGCTACTGCGGCGGAGATGAGAAGCAAATCCACCGTGGCGCGAATGGCCACACTCGCCATTTGACCTGCAAGCAATGTGACAAGACTGTGATTTGTGGCCGTCGCCGCGAAGCTATCCAAATGTGGTCATACCTCGTGCAGGTGGCTTTGTGCACGAAGTTTGGCAGCAAGCTCAGATCGACTTTGATTTACCGGATCTGCTCCAGCGGACTCACAAAGATGCTGGAGGACAAAGACAAGCAGAAGGCTCTTGGCCATGTTGCGTCCCCTGGCAGCCCTGGATGGAGTGTGATTCCATCTGAAGCTGACTCCAGTCAGTTAGGCCAACGTGGCTATCCAGATGTGCCACGACTTCCAGCTCGGAAGACAGCAACCATTGTGAGGTCGCCTGAGACCCAATGCTGGCTCTTTGGTGTGCTGCTCGCTCCAGGCGTCGACTTGCCGCCGTTTCCGGAGCTGAAGCCTGAGGATTTGGATGTTTTGCAGCCCTTGCCAGGTGACGACACTGTGATGCCTGAAGGACCATTTCGTGGCTACAAGTTTGTGGACATAGCCACCAACTTTGAGTCCGAGCCCTACTGCAAGCAAGTGATGCACATCGCACTCAACCTTGAGCCCATGTCACCACCTGTTTTTAGGCTTGCTTCGTACTTGTATGTTCGGTTGCAAATTGCCTGGCAAGCTGGTGTCAAGCTCAGTGGAACTGGTCAGGTTCTACCTGCTGGCAAACGTCCTTTCAGCCCTGAGGACATGTTGACAAGCCGGACCATCAAGGTTCCCCTGCAGCTGGATTACTATGATCCGAGCTCTCTCAAGGTTCATGAGTGCGAAGTGATGATGGTTGATGAAGACCTCAACTATGAGGCCTATGCCGTGCAGCCTGCAGACCCACCTGGTCTTGCCATACTGGACTCTGTGTGCAACCGCACCATGCACGGCGAAGAATGGGCCAAAGCCTATGAAGAGAAGCTCGCTGAACTTGGACTTCAACCTTCAATCCGAAACAAGACCCAGCTGTTCAAGGGGATTGGAGGACATGCTGAGTCCAAGGTCGTCAAGGCCTACCCTGTTGGACTTGGTGGAGTCAATGGCGAGCTCCACTCAGCAGAAACACCAGGAAAAACACCAATGCTGATTCACGTCCTTTCATGCAAACCCTCGGCACAATCATCAACCTTGGCGAGGGGACAGTTTCTTTTTCCAAGCTCAACATCAGAGATCTTCCCTTGAAGAGAACCAGCCGTGGCCATTTAGCCATCTCTCTTTTGGACTTTGATTTGAACACCATGTCAGTTTTTGATGAGCTGGTCAAGGGATATGATGAGTTTGATGTCAATGCGGCAGAAACTGAGGCCTTGGATTTGGCTCCTGGATTTGAGCCGGCCTCTGAGGCTATTGGATTTCCTGCTCTTGGACTTGAGCAAGCCTCCGAGACCTTGGATTTGGCTCCTGGACTTGAGCCGGTCTCGCCGTCAAGTGATGCCCTCAGCCACGACGATGGATTTGATCCGGACACCAGGCGCGAGTCACAAGATGCCTGGGATGTCGTTTTTGGCATCGATGAAGCTGAGTTAGAAAGGGTCATGAATCAGCATCATGAAGGTTTTCACTGCGAGAGCACAGATGTTTTTCTGGAAGAGGTTGAAAAGGGTTTCTTTTCAGTTCGGAAGCCCAGCAGCCGAAAAGCCAAAAAGATTGCTGCGATGGACACCGCACTTTGCGGGATGGATGCTTTGGTTTCCAATCAGCTCAGGATGCAGCAAGCCTCAAAGGCTGCCAGAAAGCCTCCAACCGGAAAAACATGGCTCAAACAAGTTTTTGCTGGACAGATGGGTTTGACCATTTTGGCAGTTTTCCATGGTATGGTTTTTGGTATCCCTCGCGACATCTCCTTGGACGGCTGGGACGCTTTGACTCCTGCTGGAAGGCGTCAGCTTCACCAAGACTTCCAACAGGAAGATCCTTTTTGCACTGTGCTGACGCAACCGTGCGGTCCATGGGGGAATTGGTCGAGGTTCAACATCTCCAAGGGTGGCAGCGCTTCTGTCACCGTTCTTCAACTGCGAGAAGATGGTCGCCCCTTGCTGAAAGTTGTCAACAAGACCATCAAGGATAGACTCCGTGCCAACAGGCACATCTTCATGGAACAACCTCTGGGGTCACAAGTCCTTGATGAACCTGAAATGGCAGATGTTGGAAAGTTGGTTGAGGACGGCACTTTGCTGTTCATTGTGGTTGACGGCTGCATGGTTGGCTACAAAGATTCCGTCACCGGACTGCCCAACAAGAAGCCTTCCTTTTACATCACATCAATGTTGTGTGCTGAGAGCGTTTTTGCAACATGCCGATGTGATCATAGCCATGAACATCAACCACTTGAGGGCAACAATGAGTTTGGCCCCAGAACCACTCAAGCTGCAGCATGGCCTTCCGAGCTCAATCAGATGGTTTTGGATTGCATCATACAACAAGCCGCCATTGAGGAGCACCTCGCTGATGAGATCTATGCTGGTGATGCTCAGCGCCGTCCTGCGAGCGGTCTCTCTGGGAGATCTCCCAAGCGCCGCAGACAGGGTCGAATGGCAACGATCTCAAGCCCAGCTCCGCCAGTTTATGTGCGACCACAAGGAGCTGAAGCACCTCAACCAGTTGGCGAACTTGGTGATCTACCTCCAGATGATGACTCATCTTTTCGAGCTCAACAAGCTGCAGCACTGGACCCAATCCTCAACCAGACAGAAGCTGATCGCCGACATCAATGGCTTCAAGTGGATCCTGAGATTCGCAAGTTGCTCAGGACCTTGCATGTCAATTTTGGACATCCAACCTCAACAACAATGCAGAGAATCCTGCGACGTCAGGGGGCAAAGCCGGAAGTCGTCCGAGCCGCTGGACTTATGGCCTGTGACGCTTGTGGTGAATCGATCCGGCAGAAACGTCCCAAGCCTGTGAGAATGCCATCGGCCTATGTGTTCAACCAGCACATCCTTGCCGACACCTTCTATGCCAAGAACAGCCAAGGCAAAAGTTTAGCCTTCCTCAACATCCTTTGCGATGCAACTGGATTTCAAGTGGTTTCTTGCCTTGGAGAACTGACTGGGACGCCATCATCTGGCATTGTGCTCCGTCACTTTTTGACTTCATGGTCATCTTGGGCTGGACTTCCCCATTCTCTCCAAGTTGACCGTGGCAAGGAGTACATGGCTCAGTTCTCAGACTACCTGAAGCAGTATGGTGTCGAGCAGCAAGTGATTCCTCTTGAATCACCTTGGCAGAATGGAAAGTGCGAACGTGCTGGTGGCCTTTGGAAAGAAGTCTGGGCCAAGACAGTTGTTGATGTTGATGTTTCAACACTTGCAGATGCAATCACTGCCGCGTCAATTGTGACGCAAACCAGAAATGCCTTTCCACGCACCAATGGGTACTCGCCCAACCAGTGGGTACTTGGCCATCCTGAGACCCGCCTTCCAGGCAGCCTTCTCAGTTCAGATGAGAGCCAACAACTTGAAGTTCTCGAAGCAGCTGAAAACCCCCACAGTGAAATGGCAAAGACTTTGGCCATCCGTGAAGCTGCTCGAGTGGCTCAGATTCGTTTAGATTCAGATAGCCGTGTGAGGCGAGCACTGTTGAGAAAGAGTACACCAACACGTGGACCTTTTCCCATTGGATCCTACGTGTACTTTTACAGGCGCCAGCCTCAACAACGGCAACAAGATGGCCGACCTTACAACTGGTATGGACCTGCGAGAGTCATTGGACTCGAACTTCGCAACCCACGCCGCACTGAAGACGGCGATCCAGCCACTGATGGCTCAGCCCCAAGCAGCTATTGGCTCCGCTATGGTCCCAGCGTGATTTTGGCCTCTGGTGAACAATTGAGGTTTGCAAGTGCAGATGAGCTTTTGGCAGCTCACTATGTGCCCCACTATGCCGTGGAGCAGGGAAGCGACCGTGGAGCCCGCAACTATGTTGACATCCGCAACCAGCTTCAGCAACCAATGCTTCAGCTGCAGGGGGGTGGTGTCAACGCCGATTTTTGGCGAACTTTTCCAGATGGACGAGTTGTTCGGGTCCACAACGTTCCCAGAAAAGCACTTTATGTTCCTGATGCTTGCCCAGTACCACTTGACCAACTCCAAGATGAACGAGTGACTGAGGCCATTTATGAGGCTGAGATGCGTGATCACGTCCTCACGGACACCATCACCGACAACTGGCGTCAAGACCTTGGACGCGAACTTGTGGCCAAATGGGTTGGCGAAACAATTTTCAGGACAACACCAACTACGACCTTGGCAAGTTCCTCAGCCCGGCCTGCATCAGGACAATTTGTGTCCCAACCTGCAATGCCTGCGATTCCTGAAGAACGACCAACAGTTTTTGATGATCCGCCTCCAGATGCAGAGCAAGAGATAAGGACGGGCGATGTGCCTTTGCAACAACAGCAGCAGCAGCAAAGCCATGCTGGCCATATGAGACAGGTGACCGAGCAAGAACCTGATCCTGGTCCGCAGACCCCGAGGGATCAACAACTTCCTCAACAACCTGCTCCTGTTGCTCCCTTCATTGCTCAGCTTCACCAAGCGATGCGGAATCCACAACGACTTGATGGGCATCCTGGCGGAAGCTATGGACTACCTCGAACAGCACCAGAACCAAGCTATGGTCCTCAAGGTGGAGGTGCCAGAGTTTTCACTGGGCCTTATCTTGGAGAAGCTGTCCAAGAGAATGATTGGCCTGCTGGATGCGAAGATCTATCTGACCGACTTGCTCATCGACGTCTGGCTGATGCGTCAGAGCACACTGACGATTCCATGTCTGATGACTCCACATGCTACGAGGAGAATCCCAAGCTTGAAGCGTTCCTGACTGGCAAGGCAGTTCGGTCCGAGATCGACCTCAACGACCTTTCAGTAGAAGACCGTGCCAAGTTTGACCAGTCCATGGAGAAGGAGTGGAACTCTTTCAAGAAGTTTAGCGCTGTGGAGATCCTCTCAGAAAGCCAGATCGCAGCTCTTCCTCAAGACGCTGAGATTGTGAACACGCGATGGGTTCACACTGACAAGAACCAGAAGCCGCGCTTGATGGCTGGTGCAATGCGGCGACGCACTGGGAAGTCTGAAGCTCAGATCAAGAAGGAGTACCCCTTCGAAGCCAAATCCAGAATGGTTGTCATTGGCTGCCAGGAGAAGGACACTGGCATCAGATCTGACTCTCCCACTGCATCACTCCTGGCCTTCAATTTTGTGACTTGTTTGTCAGTTATTTTTCAGTGGATTTTGGAAGCGTATGATGCGAGCACAGCATATCTCCAATCTCAAGGAATAGCACGTCTCCTGCTTCTCCGTCCTCCTCGACCACCACCTCCTGGAGTTTCCCCACATGACTTGCTGCGTGCGAAAGGCAGCATTTACGGCACGCGAGATGCTGGCCGTAGCTGGTGGAAGAAACTTTTCAAAGCTCTCCAGCGACTTGGCTGGGTGATGTCAAAATTGGAAGCTGCACTGTTTTACCTTTTTGACTCTGAAGTTTTGGTCGGTGCGCTCGTAGCCCACGTGGATGACCTTTATTCCACTGGCACCGGAAAGAAGTATGAAGAGTCCCTGAAAGTTTTGGAGAAAGAGATTTATTTGAAGAGGAAAGTTGGTGATTTTCGTTTTTGTGGAAAGAATGTGAAACAAAACCAAGATGGATCTGTTTCTTTGGACCAGATCGACGCAATTGAGAGTTTGGAATACATGGTTTTGCAGAAGAACAGGCGCGTCATGCCGAATGCGCCGTTGAATGAGGATGAGAAGTCAGCCTTCAGAGGGCTGATTGGTTCACTTGGATGGATTGCCCGTCAGACCAGACCTGACGTGCTTGTGAACGTTTCCCTGGCATCCCAAACAATGGGAAATCCGACGATCAAGGATGTCGTGGAGCTTAACAAGGTTGTCAAGGTTCTAAAGGAGAGCTATGACTTCAAGTGGAACTTTGTCCCAAGCTCCAACCTCACTCTGGAGAATGCCGTGGTGTTTTGCATGGCTGACAGCAGTTTCGCAAACACGACCAAGCTGCGAAGCCAATGTGGCTATGTGGTTGGTCTGACCACTGCTGACTTCACCTCCGGCTATGACACGCCGGTGATGATACTGGAGGCTTACAGCGGAAGCATCAAGCGTGTTTGTCGCAGCACTTTGGCTGCAGAAACAAACGGGTTCCTCACCGCGACCGAGGCCGCCGACTATGTGAGGATGCTCTTGCTGGAAGTGAAGCATCCAGGCGTTTCCATGGTTGACTTGGATAGGTTTTACCTGAAGGGCCTGCTGATCGCGTTGACGGACGCGAAGTCCTTGGAAGCCACCTTGAACAAGGATGCTGGCCAGCCTGCTGATAAGCGAGTGAAAATACTTGTCAGCCAGGTGAAAGAGTTTCTTGGCGGCGACAGCTATGAAGATGATGGTTCAGTACGCTGCCATTGGTGTGACACATCGCAGATGCTAGCCGACGTTTTGACGAAAGCTGGATGTGAAAGAGAACCTCTTTTGGATGCGATGACCACTGGAAAATGGCGCCTGAAACCAAGCGCCGAAGCCGAAGAAACCAAACAGAAGATCCGAGATGGAAGGAGACGCAGAAAAGCTGAGAAGCAATACTCTGCTGCAGGTGAGGACGGGTGTGAAACTGCATGTGAAACAGCAGTGACATAGCATTCCACCTTTGCAGCATTCAGTCTTGCAGACATTCCATGCGCATCCCAGAGCGCTCTTTTGCCCAAAGAAAAAGGTGCCTCACTTCCCGCACGCCGCTGCCGGGATTTTGATCCATTAAACATGGTAACCTTCCACTTCGCAAACTGTTGCTTTACCGTTTACCGGTTCTCTGTTTTGCGATGATGCACTGGTTATCTCTGCTGGGGCGATGTGGGGACACAATTGCGTGTGCCCTGAAGGATTTGGAACGCAGAATCAGCCTCTTAGTCGGGATGCACAGAAGATTCATCGATGCACAGACCTTGGTGCTGCAACTTGCGGAAGTTGCGGCAGATGGTGAAAACATGTGAAAACCACTCCATTTTTCCACTGGAACTTCAGACATACCCTCTGGTAATGACTAACGGCGTAGCGAACTTGATAATGGCCATAGAAATAGTGGATTTTCCCAAGAAAAATGGTGATTTTCCATAAGGGATTAGTTATGTTAGTTTACCAGAGGGTAAAAATGATCATTTGGATGGTTTTTGTTTTTTCCCATTTGTTGCAACAAACAACCACTTCATCTGATCGGAACTCTTTGAAAAAACCTCGTAATTTTTCTATCGCAGAATCATCCTTACGGAAAAAGCGTGAAAGGCGACCTCTGGAAAAGAACTATCATGTGGTTTTTATCATGTTAGACTAAGTTAAACCCAATGATGAATTGTTGCTTTTTTGAACCTCCAAATGGTAGGCTCGTGGGGTAAGTCCCACATTACCCACATCTTTCCTCAACTGCTGAAGCATTATTTGCCATGCCTCACCCAGTCGTGGTAATCATCGATGTCCAGGAGAAGCATTTTTTATGGATATTGTCATCCAAGTGGACAATGATTTGGACTTGTTTGGATTATCGGCACATATATGATATACATGCTAATCAGTATATATGTATATATATATATGATACATATGTATGTATATATATATATTTATAATATGATATTTAATATACAATATACAATATAATATATAATATATAATATATAATATATAATATATAATATATAATATATAATAATATATAATAATATATAATAATATATAATATATAATATATAATATATAATGTATACTATATAATATATAATATACAATATATATAATATATAATATATAATATATAATATATAATATAATATAATACAATGCAATATAATATAATATGATATGATATAATATGATATATTATAATATATTTGTATAGGCACGGGCACAAGCTTTAGCTAGCCTCCGTTCGCAAGCCCCTGTACTTTCAGGAATATCCAATCAGGATTCTTTCTCTGCCATGTCAGCCTCGCATACAATTCAAGCAGCATCCATCTTCTACTTGGACAAGCTTTTGGCGACCGCTTCTGCACTATATACCAGCTCCTGCTTGTTGTTCTGGCTACATTTTTCTACATCGACATTTTCTGCAATCACTATTGTCTGGGTTTCTGGATTTGTCGTATTCAACTCCTTCCTCAAGGCTGTGGGGCAAGCCTTGCACAGTCTCTTCTGCATCTCATTCTCCGAGTTTGCTGGAACCAGTACCAATTCAACCGTCTCTTACTTGCTCTCATTGTGTCTCGTTTCGGTTGCATTATTCTCCTGCTTGCAATTCCAGCCAATTTTCTATTTCATCAACATTTTCTCCACGCACATGTTTCTTATTTTTCACATGTCACTCCAAGATGAAGACCAAGGGGGGGCCTTCCACATCAAGTCCTACTTTTCACTCTCTTCTTTTGCTGGAATGTACACTCATCGTCATTCTGTACTGAAGGGGCCGTGGCAATTTCCATTTCCTGTTCTCGTGGGACTGAAAGTCCCCGTTATAAAGTGAAATTTGTTACAAGATGTTGTAGGGACATTTTTGCCTGGAGGTAACTGCCGCCAGGAAGCTTTTATCATCAGCTCCGACCACACCATGCCACATTACAGGCGGCAAATTTTTATTAAGCTCTCTCCACTTCAGTTTTAGGAGTCAAGACAAAAGTTTCCTTCTAGCCACATCAACTCCAGTACCTTGCAGCTAAAGTTCGCAGGGGCCGCCAGAGGTGTGCCGGGACCACGGTCACTCCATCGTTGTTACTTTCTCCCTTTTCTAGTTCTACCCTCCAAAGCGAGAGACAAGTGGTCACGAACCCTGCTGTGCGTCACGGGACGGATCTCCTTCAATATATTTCTCCTTTGTGATTATTGTTTCTCCGTCGTTTCGTTGGTTTTGGGGTCCACCCTGCACAAAACCATCGGGTCCCGTGTTATAGGTGCTGGTTATTAGCTTACCCTGCAGCCACAGATTCTCCTGTTCTCTGTTTCTCTTTTTTCATTTTGTTTCTCCATTCGGCTGACGGAAAGCTGCTGCTGACGTGTAGTTCGACATGAACTGCATATCGCTGCGGATATATATGTATATATATATATGTAAATATAAAATAAAATGATATATATATATATGTAAATATAAAATAAAATGATATATATATATACATGTATAATATAACATTATATATATATTATATTATAATATTTTAAATAATATAGTATATATATATTTATAAAGTGGATAATTCTACAGAATTGGCTAAAGTGGAAATGTTACAGGACAAATCCAGAGGAAATATTATGGTTTCTGGCAGATGTGTCCACAAAGCAAGCCATTGATAGTCACAGGGGTTTATCTGAAAAAAGGGTACTCCCAATTTTCACTGGATCAGAAGAGCATTAGCCCCAAATTCTCTTCCAAATGACATTTGTTGGGTGTACCACGGTTTTTTTTCGCACCCAAAAGGATAGACAAGTTGGGAGTCCGGGAAATGATGAAGGACACATCAACTATAACTTCCTGGAACCACCTTTCTGCATCTTGTAAGGGTTACTATACCCCCAATTAAAAAAAAAACTGTTTTCAAAGAATGCATGGTCGAAGCTGGCATGAAAAACGCCCATATTGGGTCATCCCCAGTGATGGTTTTGTCTGAAAATAGGCTACCCCCAATTCCAGTGGATTAGGAGAGTTAAAAAATTGCATGCCCTATTTTCAGTCAAAACCAAATGAATAATTTGCCCATGGGGAGCTTCCTTTCCCCTTGACATTCAGGAAACTTTGCTGCGACAACGCAGTGGACTGGATGGTGCTGCTGCATCTTCCACGGCAGCCGAGGTTGGAGGTGAGATGGGCGTCCCTGGTCAGAGGGAACAATTCGGAGGGATATCTATATTCCCTAATATTTCATGGGTAGCCGGAGCTACATGATAGAACATGGATAAACCGGGTAGGATCATCAAAATTTGGGTCTAAGTAGAACATCCAACACCGTTTAACAACTTGGGGACCCGAATTTCAGTAAATCATCCGGCTATTTTCAAGATCATTTTTTGTTGGCTGGCTTTTACATGTGGTTTCAAGGCTTGTTTTGCAGCTTCAGATGGTCAGCAGGCTGATCTCTGAACTCAGGTAGCAGCTTTGCGGAGAATTTCCAGGGACCCTTTGTGCGACGTGGGGCGGCCATGGCCCAACCGGTGGTTGATGGCTGAAAACTCGAAGAGAATTCGCCGAAAAGTACAAGGTGGTGCCCCCTCAATATAATTTGGTTATAAGCTCATTAACTAGTTCGATATATCACCAAAAACCATACTTATTGGAGTTAAGGATACAAGTTCATGATTGAATGAAACATTTGGGCAACCAACTATAGATATATCCCCTATAAGCCATAGTTATTGGAGTTATTTGCACCAACTGAACGCTATCGAACGGGGGCACCATCCTGTAGAATGTGGAAGAGGATTCTCCCCAACAGGAAGTCAATGGGAATTTCAGGATCCTGAAATGGATGTACGTTAGTACCATATTTTTAGCCATATTTTGTGGGGATATTCCCTTACATAGGCTTGAAAATAGGCCTTTTTATGTTAGGTACCTACAATTTAGCATCCTGAGATGGCCAATGAGGAAATGGCCGTTTCTTTCTTTCTTTCTTTCTTTTTGCTTTCTTTATTTTTGTTTTTACAGCACATAGAACAGGGATTAGATTTCATGTATGTGCCATGGTCAAATGGATTGTGCACCCATCTTGGGGGATTGTCATTAATCCATTACTGGATATATATATATATGCCTATAATGTTTGGATTCCCATTGTGGGATGGATGAAACCATATACCATGATATGACCATGGCACATATGTATGATCACCAATCAATCACGGGAAGTTTGTCGTATCCCATTATATTCCCACTATATATATATATATATCTATCCGATTATTGTTTCTCGAAACTCATCATGCCGATTATATATAATCCCATTATGTTATTATTATTTCCCATCATATATCCTGTTGTTTATATTTCCTATATCGTTATATGGAGGTTTCCTAAAATGGGGGTACCCCTCAATCCTCCATTTTATTTTCGGATTTTCCATTAACCATCCAGCTATTGAGATACGACCTTTTATGGAAACCTCTCATTATGTCATGATTATTGCCCATTCTATATCCCATTGTCTCTATATCCCATTGTCTCTATATCCCATTATTGTTGTTTGTATATCTCTATATATATATACATATTCCATTGTCTGTATATCCCATTATAGCTGTTTATGTATCCCATTATATATACATATTCCATTGTTTATATATCCCATTATAGTTGTTTACATATCTCGTTGTATATCTTACTATATATCCCATTCATAGTTGTTTTTATATCCCATTATAGTTGTTTATATATCTCATTATATATATAACCTTATGATTGTGGGTCTTGACCTTGGCACATTTTTGATTTGGTGAGGTGGTCAAGCCTATGAGGATGGAATCTATTTCAGCCGGACAGAGGTGGGAAAAAGCTCGTCCTTAATCGGGTGTGCCCATGCGGCGGTCGGTTTTAATTTTTTGTTATTGCTATTTATTATATATATATGTTTCCATACTTTCAAAATTTTCATATGTGTTCATATTTTCTTACATAAAAATATATTTTTTATATTAAAACATTTCTTTTATTGAAATATTTGTTCTTATACTAAGATATATTTCTTATTTTAACATATGATTATTTTTTTTTCGATATTTTTCGATATATGAACCCAGTTGATTAGGCCCCGCAGGGGTTTGATTGAAAATTGGGGTGACTTATTCCTAACCGGGTGTGCTCATGCGCAGGGGTGACTTTTTAATACTTTTTACGGAAGGGGTGACTTAACACGACCGCTGACTTAAAACGACCACCAAGTATCTGAGGGTTTTCAGATGCTTTGCTTGATTTTTCAATGATGTTTGAATGATGTTTCATGACTTTATCATCATTCCCAGGTGTCTTCTAGATGTTTGAACCAAGCTAAAGAAGCAGGAGTGACCTTTCCCCAAGTGGCCACACTGAGTTCTAAGTCTGATCTGGGGCCCGTACCCCTGGTGGCGCTGGACATGCCTGAACATACACCCAAAATGGCCATGGGTCTCGCCCAAACCAACTGGGGTTACTATCGCGACCATCTCATGACCAACATGTACTTCTTTTTTTGGAATCTGTTGATTTCCGGGATGGTCTGTGCATGTCTGGAAAACATACACATGATGAAGTTGCAGAAGCATCTTTACAACAGGTGAAAAACAGATACTATTTGATGCTCTTTCCCGGTTTTCCCCGGTGTTTTGCCATTCCCATTGCCGCAACCAGGCGGCGAAGCCTGCAACAGCACCTGAGGAGAGGCCACTTCCGTAGAAACAACCGAAATCATCACCGTCGTCGTCATTATTAAGATCATGTTTGGTGAATATAAGTATATATATATATACACATACGTATATATATATATGTCTTTGTATGTAAGAATGGATGAAATGTGATGTAATGAATGTTAAATAATGTATGTGATGAAATGTAACATAACGTATGTAATGTGATGTAATGGAATGTAATGGAATGTAATGTAACGTAATGTAATGTAATGTATTAAAATGTACTGTATGTAATGTAATGTAATGTGATGTAATGTAATGTGATGTGATGTGATGTGGTGTGATGTGATGAATGTAAGTATGTATGTATCTAAGCATGTAAGTATGTAAGTATGAAAGTATGTAAGTATGTGTGAATGTATGTAAGTATGTAATGTGATGTGATGTGATGTAATGTAATGTAAGGTAAGGTAAGGAAAGGTAATGTAATGTCATGTATGTATGTATGTATGTATGGTAATGTAATGTAATGTAATGTATTGTAATGTATTGTAATGTATTGTAATGTAAGGTGTGTATGTCTGTATGAATTGTATGTATGTATGTATGCATGTATGTATGTATGTAGGTATGTATGGTATGGTAGGTATGGTAGGTATGTATGTATGTATGTACGTATGGTAATGTAATGCAATGTATTGTAATGTAATGTAATGTATTGTAATGTATTGTAATGTATGTATGTATGTATGTAATGTAATTTAATGTAATGTAATGTAATGTACGTATGGTAATGTAATGCAATGTATTGTAATGTAATGTAATGTATTGTAATGTATTGTAATGTATGTATGTATGTATGTATGTATGTAATGTATGTAATGTACGTAATGTATGTAATGTATGTATGTATGTATTGTATTGTACTGTACTGTATTGTATTGTATTTTATTGTATTGTATTTATGTATGTATGTATGTGTGCATGTAAGTATGTATGTAATGTAATGTAATGTAATGTATTGTACCGTACTGTAATGTAACGTAATGTAATGTAATGTAATGTCTTTATTAATGTAATGTTGGAAATGCATGTAGTGTGTGTGTAATGTATTTAATGTATTTAATGTATTTAATGTATTTAATTTATGTAATGTATGTAATGTAATGTATGTATGTATGTATATGTGTATGTAATGTATGTATGTAATGTATGTATGTATGTATGTATGTATGTATTGTAATGTAATCTAATGAGAAGTAATGGAATGTATTGGTATGTAATGGTATGTGATGGTATGTATGTATGTATGCATGCATGCATTTATGTATGTATGTATGTGTGTATGTATGTATGTTTGTAATGTAATGTAATGTACTGTAATGTAATGTAATGTAAGTAAGTATCTAATTCAAGTAAGTAAGTAAGTATATATATATATGTATGTATGTATGTTTGTTTGTTTGTTAGTTATGTATGTTATGTATGGTATGTATGTTATGTATATTATGTATGTAATGTATGTAATGTAGGTAATGTATGTAATGTATGTCATGTATGTAATGTATGTATGGATTAATTATTTATGTATGTATTTATTTATGTGTGTATTTCTGTATGTATGTTTGGTATGTTTGGTATGTTCGATATGTTTGGTATGTATGTATGTATGTATGTATGTATGTATGTATGTAATTTATATATATATATGTATGTACGTTGGTTGATATGTGCCACATATAATGTTTATATATTTATATATTTATATATAACTTCTCATTTCTTGGAAAATTTGATTATATTTGATGATCATGAAAGAGGCATGGGTTGCCCACCAACAATCATTCATCAAATTGTGGAATTTGTGAACTCCCAATGGTCATTACTGTGGGCAACCCAATGCCACCTGCCATTTAAGGGGATGGTTAAATCCTCCCAGAAAATGGTGACGTTTGGGGGATGGTTTGTTGTTGGGTTTGCCGTAAATTCATCATTCTGTCTTTTCGTTTTCGGCCAAGTTCAACCAGAATCCTCGCGCTCTGCGGCCTTGAAATAACCACCAAGTTTGTAACCTTTTGCGGGATCGGCCCCTCAAATTCCAGGCCTTTGTCTCGGCTGCTGGTGGGGGACTTTGAAGCCTTGGGAAAATACCTAGGCCTTTGAAGCGATTGCTGGGTGAAAATTGGCGTTGAGGGTTTCGGATGTTTGTTTTTCACAGGATATTTCTAAGATTTTGTGAGGATTTAACTCATGAAACCAATCTCAAAACATGAATACTGTGAACATCTGGGGGATTCTGCTTTCAGTCGTTGTCTCAAAATAACATCCTTGAAATTTGGCAACCCATCGATGGGGAAACGACTGAAGGATTTTTTTGGGGAAACGGGATTTGATGGGGATATGCATGAGAAAACAACCGGTTGCCAGCACTCCATGGGGATATCATCTAAAAAATCAGGGTCTGGGTAAATGTTGCAGTCTCAATGGCCGGTCGTCGTAATTAGAAATGATGGTTTAAATTTATATAATATACAAATGTGGTACGGCCAATAATAGACCATCCCCATCATTAGAAATGGGTGGTACAAACAATCCCCAAATGCTAGGTTCATTGTTGGGTTGAACACTGTACATCATACTTCGCAACAAAAATTGTTTAGTTCTGATTTTTAAGCCTGTGAGAGGAAAAACACACCCCTTTCTTCAATGAAATAGGTTCATTCCTGAATTGAGAATCAGTTCATGCTTGGGTTTCGGTACGATGCTCCTGATTTTTGGAGCGGTTTCGAAATTCGAATGTGTTCGTGGTTGGTCTTGTTGATTGCGTGTCTTTGAATTGTGCAAAAGATGCTTTAAAAAATCGAAAGTCAATGATATCACCATTGCCCTCTGGTTATTTAACATAGCTATGGAAAATGACACATTTATAGATGAGATCCATTTATAATGGATTTTCCAGTTCGCAATGTTAAATAACTAGATGGTATTTCTTCATGATTTCCCAGGTTTTCTGTTCTTGTTTCACCCTCCTGGCGCCGCATTTTTTTTTCCCGGGGCTCAAAAGTTGCGTTTCTGACGGAGCCGTGCTCCGTCGTTTTTTCACCAGGGGCATGAACGGGTACAGCGCGCCGGCCGAAAGAGCCGGTGGCTTGAAGGTTGGCGCCTTGTTGGGAGTTATGAAAAACCTGGCTGGGTTGCAAGGTGGTACCCCCCAGTTATAAATTGGTTACAAACCCATGACAACTAGTTCGATATATCATGATATATCACCAACAAAAACCATTAGTTATATTAGATTTATAAACCATAGATATATCACCTATAAACCGTAGTGGAATTGGAAAACTAGTTCGAGATATCACCAACAAAAACCATATATAGTGAGTTCTTGGAGTTATAAACGCACACACGCACGCACCAACGGTTCACGCGAACTCGCTCGATAGTTTACGGGGGCACCATTATATGTGGGGATCATGAGCCAGGTAAACCCAAGACTCAACCGAGAAAAACCACTATCACCTATAAACCATAGTTATTATAGCTATCCCCACTTGTGGGATTTTATAGGAATATAACTGTGGTAAGCCCATTAACTATAGATATATCACCTATAAACCCTAGTTATTTCAAAGGGAATTTCAGGATCCAATGCATGGAGGTACGTTAGTACCATATTTTTGGCCATATTTTGTGGGGATATTCCCTGAAATTTAGGCTTGAAAAATAGGCCTTATATATGGTAGGTACCTCCATTTTAGGATCCTGAAATTCCCATTGAATAAACCATAGTGAAATTGGAGTTATTTGCACCAACTGAACGCTATTTTGGGGGCACCATCCTGGGATCATGAACTAGCCATAATGAGGTAAACCATGGTAAACCATCCCCAAGTCATGACAATTTTTATGGGGATTCAAACCATCCCCATAAATGGCAGGTTTATGGCATTCGGTTCACCACAGTAGGGAAACTGATCAACCAACGAGTAGAAGGAGGTGGGAAAACGGAGTATTCGAGTATTGGCTCACTTGGGACCAGCGCTTTGCGTTTTTAGTTGGGAAGTCAAGAGATTTCAGTAGATTTCAGATGCTTTTAATCATATATAAACGTTCCTGAAAATCAGTTGTTTTCTATGATTATTTCAGGGGATTCTCCTTCAAACAAAGCAGCCACAGTAGTATATCGGGCTCCACACACTTGGAACCGAATTGTTGATGGCAACTAACCCCATTATTCCCAATGCAACCCCGTATTATTCATGGTTAGATCCCCTAAAATACCAGCGGTCTAATAGCTGGTGAATTTAGCTGGTGAATTTAGTTGCTTAGTAAACGGTTAGTAGTTTTCAATGATGTTTTTGATTGGTGGTGCAATCGTTGGTTAAGGTTCCAACTGGAAAAACGGATCCTGTTCAATCCCCCCTGCAGGTGGGAGAGGTCCCGTGGAGAACGCAGTTGTCGTTCTATGTGAACGGCAGACCTGTCAAGGTTCAGGACGCTTTCGACAGGTGGTGATCTTGATATTTAAAGGTTGATGCAAGGTGGTGCCTCCAAGATAGCTAAGTTGGTGCAAATAACCCCAATTTCACTATGGTTTTTGTTGGTGATATAACCAATTAATTAATTAGTGTTTTCATGGGCTTATAACCAATTTATAACTGGTGGGGCACCAGCTTGTATATAAGTTCATCGTCAAGAAATTGTTGTGGGGATTTGTGGATCTCTATCTTTTACGGGATGATCTGGAAATTCTCATCGATGGGTCCCACAGTTTTAAATGAATAGATCTCAGACTACGCTAAGATCTTGACTGGTCATTCAATCAATGGGAGATCTTCAGGATCCAATGCATGGAGGTACGTTAGTACCATATTTTTGGCCTATTTTGTGGGGATATTCCCTGAAATTTAGGCCTGAAATATAGGCCTTATATATGGTAGGTACCTCCATTTTAGGATCCTGAAATGGCCATTGACTCACTGTGGGCAAGAAGTTTGTCCAAATTTCTCACCCAGATATGGCTGGATGATTCACAGTTCCCCCAAGTTTGATGCTTGATGTTCGACCGTTTTTCCTGTTTTGGCGATTTTTAATTGGGGTATCTCCAATTTTTGGACAACCCCCCTTATATCATCTTATATCCCCCCTATATCCCCATGGAAATTGTTGTTGTGTTCCAGAAATCTGCATTTATTCAAGCAAATCTTCCCAGATGTCCCATGAAGGATGCGGAACCGCATCATACCTTGCTATGGTTCCTGCGCGAGCGCTTGGGTCTCACAGGTGGGCTGGGTGGAAGCTGGAACATCCTTAAGCAACTACCGTAACACGTTGGGGGGATGCTACCCTTTCCATGCTAAATCACATGAAATCACCATTGAATCCCAATAGATTCATGTTAAATCCCATTACCCTCTGGTAAACGTTTACCAAAAACTATGGAAAGATCCACCATTTTTCATGGGAAAACTCACGATTTCAATGGCCATGTTCAAGTTCGCAAACTGAAATCGTCATTACCAGAGGGTACCCTTTCTGATATCCCCCAGGGTGAACATGTCCATGTTAAACATCCCTAGAAAAACTCTTCCCTTTCTCCGAAAAAGGGAAGGCTATAGTAGGGCTCCTCCCAATTCTCCGAGAATCAGAGGTTTTGACACATCCCAACTTCCCCATCAATCACCTCAGTACATAATCTATGGGTCATATTCCCAAAGCAACCATGATATATTTAGCCATCCGAATCTAGAGATTCCCAAACCCCCATGTTATATCTAGTCGTTTGGAAATCAGCTAGAGGTTATCACATGATGATGTTAGAAAAAGTTCATATACCCTCTGGTTATTTAACATAGCCATGGGAAATGGCCAATAGAAATAGATGGTTTACCGAACTTAAAAATGGTGGATCTTTCCATGGCTATGTTAGTGATAACCAGAGGGTAAATCCCATTAAACCACCATTAAACCACCATTAAATCACCAGTAAATCTCCAAGAGGGTCATTGGGGATGACATTCATGTCAACATTGGCTCCGAATAAATGGGTGATCTTCAGACAGGAAAGCGACGATGAGACCAGTGGAATCGGCTACCTGATCTTCAGCCACACCCAATTGTCATATGTATATATGTATATCGGATTATATAAATTATATGTATATATATATACATACATATATACAAACATATATACATATACATATATATATAATTATATATACACATCCCAGTAGATCCGTATTATCTCCCGATGACATTCCCAGTCTTGTCGTTTACACCTCTGCTTTCCATGATGTTCACACCACGGTTGGTTGGTTGGTTGGTTACAAACCCCAATCAACTTGTGGGTTAAATCTCCAACATAACATACATATATGTTCATATATATATATAATCACATATATATATATGTATATAATTATATATATATACACTTGTAACATGTATACGTATCATATATATATGAATCATAAGACGGGGCTGTCACAAAAAACAACCAAGGACCCGGGTCGGTCCGGTCGTCAGGCACCAAATTGGGCTGTGGTGAAGGCGGTTGTGGCGCCTGCACCGTGACCGTGGCCATGTTTCAGGACGGTGTCGTGGTGCACCGCGCAGTACCTGGGCCCAGGACGGTCGGGGAAAACGGGGAAGGTTGGTAGCTGGGCATTCTACTCATCCTATGAGAAACTTTTCCCATGAGAAAATACTCAAGTTGATTGGTTGATTATTAGTTTCAATATTCTTTGTTATTACAATGGCTATTTCAGAAACCCAAATTTGGAGGTACCAACCTTTTTTCTGGTGGGCCTATTCTTCAGGCCTAAAATTTCAGGGAATATCCCCACAAAATATGGCCAAAAATATGGTACTAACGTACCTCCATGTATTGGATCCTGAAGATCTCCCATTGAAATAACTATGGTTTATAGGTGATATATCTATAGTTAATGGGCTTACCACAGTTATATTCCTATAAAATCCTACAAGTGAAACCCTCTTTGTAAGTCCCAAATATGTGGTAAATTTCTGACTAAACCATGGTTTCTAGTGGATGAGCGAAAGATTTTTGGAGGAGAAACATGGAGAACGCTGGGAAATCCTGCATCAATGGAGGTGAAAAATGGGAAATTCATCTGTAAATGTGGAAGTTTCCAGTGCCATGTTTGATTACTGGAGGGTGCTAATCTGATATATATATAAGATATATGTGGAATTTCTAGGATTTTATCATATTTAATCCTATTATATGATGTTTGTTCGGGGTATATTTGGGAAACCCTGGATGACTACTGCGATCTGTTGCTGATGTGGTGGGGATTATATATATATGTATGTATGCATATATGTTTGGTAAGATAGAATCCGTAGCAAAAAAGAATACAGGGTATCCAAGATTGTCAATTTGCAGGGTATTTGTCCTGATTCTAGACCATGGTGAGAGGTATGCTGTGTTTTTTCCCCTCCTGGTATGCTACCATTTATGGTGCCCCAGAAAGTAGCATTTTGGAGGAGATTTATGATCTATCACTTATTCTGATTTTTCACTAAGTTTGCTATTTTGTTATGTTTGCTATATCATTCATGTATGACCCTCTCGTAAACGTTTACAGTTTGCTATGGAAAATGACCATAGAAATAGTTGATTTACCCATAAACAATGGTGATTTTCTCTAGTTTTTTGTATGTTTACCAGGCCGGGTGCCTAGGAAAATCCACCTAATGGGCGATGGCCAGGGCGCTTCGAAGCCCGATTTCCAGGTCCTCCAGGCCTCCAGGTCTGGCTTTCCAAGGTGAACGCCTGTTTGGCTCCCTTGTGTAGTGTGGATGGTTGGGGCTCCCAGCTGTGAAACTCAGGGAATTTTCTGATATGATGTGTGTCTATATTAGTATAAGTATGTATGACAACTACATATATATATATATACACATACAATATATATATATATATATATAGTATAATATATATATAGTATATATATATATATATATAGTGTATATATATATACAATATATGTATTCATTGAATTAATAGTGAATTGTACAATATACAATGCTATATACACATCATTCTTCCAGGTCGAAGTGTCATTTTTTTCCAAAAGCATTCTGACTTTGACAGTTCCGAGGTTGTTCCCCCCTTGGCATCTTCCGAGGTTGTCATGTGACAACGGTGGAGGGTATTGGCACATCCAACAAACCCCACCCGGTGCAGCGACGAGTGGCTGAGCTCCATGGCTCGCAGTCCCTGGGCGAGCAGGGCGAGCAGGGCGAGCAGCTGGCCGCTGAAGCCGTATTAACATAACATATAAATTGTTGCTGAGGTGTTTTCTCCGTATCTGACCATGTATATATATAAATAATATGATTTACACATATATATATATATATACATACACACACATATATATATATACACATATATATTATGTATGTATATATATATATATATCCGTGTGTGTGTGTGTCGGTGCAAGGCATCCCATGTTTTTACGGCGTTTCTTTCGTGAGAGGTGCTTACCTGGATATTGCACTCAAGTTACTGGCCCGAGGTGCGGTTTTTGCACACCGGGAATTGTCATGTCGCTTTACACCACCCTTTGCAGGACGCTTTTCGTGAAGGGCTGGGAAAAGCCATGCGATGGAACCATGGCTGGAGTTTTATGGCGAATTGGCCAGCCATCAGACTTGCCGGTGTCTGTGGTGTTGTTCTTGTTGGGTGTGTTCAACAACAGGGTACTCTCAAAAGTACAATGTTTTACCAATTATCATCATTCCCAGCCAAACAGATGGACACTAAAAAGTTCTTCTGGGATAATGGTGGCAAAGCCATAGTAAGCGATTGTCATTGGGTATTATGACCTTGGATATACCCTCTGGTTATACCCGTTTTCTGATGATATCAACTGACACAGTTTGGTGGTTTCTTCCCTCATGTTCTCCCATTTTTGGACACACAAAGATACCCTCTGGTAAACATACAAAAAACAATGGACAATCACCATTTTTCATGGGAAAATCCACTATTTCTATGGCTATTTTCAATAGCAAACTGTTAGTCATTACCAGAGGGTAACCAAAAAGCTGGTGGAGTCTCACGATGGCAGGACCTCTAAACCCACCCTCTCCGAGATTGAGTCGAGTTTTGATGGCAACCTTTGCAGGCTGGAACCGAACCAGGCATTGCAGTGTATAATCTCCCATCTTTCTGGCAAAATGATCTTCATTTTTCTGAAGAGTTTCACATAGTTTCACCTAAACATCCCCAGAGGATCAGGTGGCAACTTGGGGAGTTTTCCCCCCTTCCCACCTTTTTCCTCCATGGTTCAACGACCAAGCCCGACAGGTGCACGGGGTACCGGCCCATCCTGGACGCCGCCAAGACCTTCGTCTGCGACAAAGAGAAGTGTCCCAGCTCGGGGCTGGACGTGCCACCGTGCCTTGACAGCGACGGCGCTGCGTTCCGAAGTGTTGGGAGTTGGGGGAATCCGAATGCCATACGTTGGATGGTGCCCCCGTTCGATCGCGTGAACCGTTGGTGCGTGCCTTTATAAATCCAATAACTCACAACATGATTTTTGTTGGTGATAGATCGAACTAGTATTCATGTTTTTTTTTCAGCAATTTATAACTGGGGAACCACCACCTTGTAGGGTACCTTTTCGGATACCTGCCGGCCCGGCTAGCCAGATCCACTGGTTCTTCCCTAAAGGCGGCCTATCTTCAGTTGGGATCCACTCGAGCAACGTCCAAGGCAACGTCCGGAGCAGGAGAAAGATGTGAAAATCTGCAGCACCACTGCAGATGTGCTGAAAAATCTTGCGGATGAGAAGGTCCAAGAAGCTTCCTTTCCAGAGGCTGATTGGTCTGATTTTTTGGAATCAGTTGCCATTTCATGGGCAATCTCAGATTGGGCTGGTATGGGATAGTTTTTTTTGGAGATTTTGGCTTGGTGGCAAATGTTGAGACCTTTCTTTTCAGATATGTGATCAGATCAGGAAAAGTTGGTGTGCTGCCTCTATGGTGTTTTGTTCTTTCCACTCCTATGATCATTATCATTATCAGTATTAATATTGTTATTACTATTATTATTATGTATCCTCATTCTCTTGTATCGCTATATCATGCTCAATACAGAAACCACTATCGTCAGTATTGCAAACCACAGATGTGAAGGCCACCGATCTATACTAAGATTCCAACTACGATATGTAATCTGATTGGATGCATATATGGGATCATCAGGGGAACATACATTATGCATATATATATACAGTTATATATATATGTATGCATTATATATACAAATATATATATACAGTTATATACATATGTATGCATTATATATATACATATATATATATATACATATTATACATGTACATATGTGTTGTTTTCTTTTCACCTTAGCAATTAACTAGACTTGACGATGTTGGGAGCATCGCCCCAGGCCTTAAAAACCCAGCTAGAACCTTTGAAGGTGACAGGGACAAAGGTGCGAAAAGGGCAGCACCTGGGAGGGTGTGGTTGGGGATAGCAATGGGTGGACATACTGTGGATGGTCCGTTGTGAAATCCTAAAAGCCCACCAATTTTCGATGGTTGAAAGCCCAACAAAATAATGGGATGTTTACCATCTATGAACTGGTGATTGGGATTTGCTGGCCCATCCACAGTATCAATGGGTTGGATATCATAGATCATCAAGATCGATTATGAAACCATCCTTCTTGTGACCGGAAATAGGCAGAAAGGCCAGGGAATTCTTTGGTGAAACAACATGGCACTGGAAGAAAAAGAGCAGTTTTGCTGATTGCTTGCCTACTGAGAGAAGTAATGTAGAATAGTGAACTCAGAATCAAGATCCTTCAATCATCTTGGCATAGTGGTAGGCTACACTCATGAATGTGTTGGTTTCAGGAAAGTTGAGATATGTTGTCTCTCGTCAGCTCGATCCATTGGTTCTCTAAAGTCTCAATGGCAGCATGTTTTCAAAGTGTTGTTATCCTACACCAACAGTTTGCTACTTGGTGGCTCATCCCACTTAGTAAGTGGGTTATAACCCCAGTTATTTCAGTGGATTAAGCCTACTTATCCCATGTAAATCACTGGGGTGAACTAACCCACAAAAACGAGCCGTGGGTCGCTCGCCACCAAGTAGCATCTACCTGCCATTTTCCATCCATTTTTTTGGCGGAAGAAAAACCTCAAATCTTCAGATTTGTCATGACTATCCCATTCCCATTCGATGTTTGGAGCCACAATAACTGATGCTTTCCCAAGTTTTTAGAATTGCTTAGTTTAGCCCATGCATATTATTATAATCTATCTTAGATATATCACCGCCTATAAACCATAGTGAAACTGGGGTTATAAATTGCTGAAAGTTTAGCCCATGAATACTAGTTCGATCTATCACCAACGAAAACCATATACTGTGAGTTATTGGAGTTATAAACGCACGCACCAACTGAACGCTATCGCTCGCTGGAAGATCCAGTCAGGTGACGTGGTACCGCCCCACCGATCTGGCCACCTTACTGATGCTGAAAAAGGCGGCCCGGCGATAGTTTTGAATCTCACAGCAGGTACATTTGCCCCAATTCCCCAAATCTTACTGCTTAGTAGGGAATGGGATGATTGGGATGATTGTTAATAGAAGTGTCTTCATCCAACTTATGAATGAGTTGTTTTGTTAGTGATACAAGCCTTGGTGATGCCCAATATCTAATTAAATGGGATGATTTAAGACTTTTAGGAATGCGACCCTTATAAGTTTTCTCTGAGAATAGGCACTAAAATGGCCATTAGGGGATAAGGCCATTCACCACCGAAATATTCGCTTTTTGGTGAGTGATATCCCATTTCTATCCATTTCTTGTTCAATTATTATCATGTTATATCCTCATCAGATCCCTATGGTGCTTGGTTTTGGGGTAAATGATTGACCATCATTTCCCCTATCAACCCAAATTTCTGAGATTTATGGGAATATGTATATATATATATATACATATATATATATAATATATATAATATATATATAATATATATATATAATATCTCATGATATCCAAAAAAATCCCGCATTTTTCCCATGGGAAAAGCCATGGCTTTCTGGAAATTTCCCAGTAATCCCCATGGTTTCTGAGGCCGAGCCCAAGGCCAAGATGGTGGCCGGGAATACGGAAGTGGGGATCGAGACGAAGCATCCTGGCGGAATGGATCCCTGGGTTATCCATATATAAGCCATATATAAGCCCTATAATAAATCACATATATATATATATTGCACATATATAAACATATGTAATTAATTGTATAGGTATATATATATATATATATATTCCACAGTGAGGTTAATTAATGGAACAAGCCCACTTATGGGATGACATTTGTAGCCAGTTATTGGATGTGGGATGCACGAATCCAAGTAGGGATGTGGCGGCAGTGTTGGTCGATGTATGTTACATACATAGAAACTCGCATGGTCGCATGGTCACATTTGGATGTATCTACGGGTGTGTCTAGAAATGTGGTACACCCCAATTGTTTTTTAATAGGGACAACTATGATAAACTATGGGGCTTCGGGGTACCCTATTTTCAGACAAACCCATATATAGATACATCCCCATCTGGTGATGCAGATTATTTTCCTGGGAGTCCAGTACCCAAAAATAATTTTGAAATCACCGATTTGATCCGATTTGCACATGCTAAACCCTGCGTCCCTTCGAACCCAGGAAAACAATATTGGTTCAAAATATGTCGAACATATTTCAAGATTATTTTGGAAACGTCCGGCCACAGGAAAGTAATGTTCATGGGGGGGGAGTTCACTGGAACATATATGTACGTCAAACCCCAGGAAAAAAATGCCCCATGATTATTTGAGGGGATATGGTTCTTTACATGACTCTAAACGGTTGGGAACCAGGATTTAAATCTGTGGAAATGGTGTTATAATGATTATAATGTTGAATGTGCGTAGGTTAGATATCAGGAACAAATTCCAAAGATACATTTGTCCTTGCAAAGGGATACATTTGTCCTGAAAGCGCGCCCAAAATGCAAAACACATGTTTTTTGCTGAAAATACATTTGTCCTAGCAAAAGGCTGCAACCACATATGTTCAGCTTCACCAACCAAACAAGGTGACTTGAAGAGGCCGAGGCGCAGGTGTCAAAAATAAATTCCAAGGGGCTGGACCTTTTTAGGCTGAATACATGCTGATGATCTTCAAAGGTTGGCCCAACAGGAAAAAAAGTCGCATCACCAGGCCAACCATCCATAGATAGGACATGATGGGACAAATTCAAGAATTTTGTGTCAATGCGCGCTCAAAATGCAAAACGCATGTTTTTTTTGCTGAAAATAAATTTGTCCTAGCAAAAGGCTACAACCACATATGTTCAGCTTCACCAACCAAAAAGGTGACTTGAAGAGGCCGAGGCGCAGGTGTCAAAAATAAATTCCAAGGGGCTGGACCTTTTTTGGCTGAATACATGCGGATGATCTTCAAAGGTTGGCCCCACAGGAAAAAGTCGCATCACCAGGCCAACCATCCATAGATACGAAATGATGTGACAAATTCAAGCATTTTGTGTCAACGCGCGCCCAAAATGCAAAACACATGTTTTTTGTTGAAAATACATTTGTCCTAGCAAAAGGCTGCAACCACATATGTTCAGCTTCACCAACCAAAAAAGGTGACCTGAAGAGGCCGAGGCGCAGGCGTCAAAAATAAATTCCAAGGGGCTGGACCTTTTTTGGCTGAATACATGCTGATGATCTTCAAAGGTTGGCCCAACAGGAAAAAAGTCGCATCACCAGGCCAACCATCCATAGATAGGACATGATGGGACAAATTCAATAATTTTGTGTCAACGCGCGCCCAAAATGCAAAACAAATGTTTTTTGCTGAAAATACATTTGTCCTAGCAAAAGGCTGCAACCACATATATCAGCTTCACCAACCAAACAAGGTGACTTGAAGAGGCCGAGGCGCAGGTGTCAAAAATAAATTCCAAGGTGCTAGACCTTTTTTGGCTGAATACATGCGGATGATCTCCAAAGGTTGGCCCCACAGGAAAAAGTCGCATCACCAGGCCAACCATCCATAGATAGGAAATGATGGGACAAATTCAATAATTTTGTGTCAACATGAGCCCAAAATGCAAAACACTGTTTTTTTGCTGAACATACATTTGTCCTTGAAAAAGTCTACAACCACATATTATGTTCAGCTTCACCAACCAAAAAGGTGACCTGAAGAGGCCGAGGCGCAGGTGTCAAAAATAAATTCCAAGGGGCTGGACCTTTTTTGGCTGAATACATGCGGATGATCTTCAAAGGTTGGCCCCACAGGAAAAAAGTTGCACCACCAGGCCAACCATCCATAGATACGAAATGATGTGACAAATTCAAGAATTTTGTGTCAACGCGCGCCCAAAATGCAAAACACATGTTTTTTGTTGAAAATACATTTGTCCTAGCAAAAGGCTGCAACCACATATGTTCAGCTTCACCAACCAAAAAAGGTGACCTGAAGAGGCCGAGGCGCAGGCGTCAAAAATAAATTCCAAGGGGCTGGACCTTTTTTGGCTGAATACATGCTGATGATCTTCAAAGGTTGGCCCAACAGGAAAAAAGTCGCATCACCAGGCCAACCATCCATAGATAGGACATGATGGGACAAATTCAATAATTTTGTGTCAACGCGCGCCCACAATGCAAAACACATGATTTTTGGCTGAAAATACATTTGTCCTAGCAAAAGGCTACAACCACATATGTTCAGCTTCACCAACCAAAAAGGTGACTTGAAGAGGCCGAGGCGCAGGTGTCAAAAATAAATTCCAAGGGGCTGGACCTTTTTTGGCTTTATACATGCTGATGATCTCCAAAGGTTGGCCCCACAGGGAAAAAAAGTCGCATCACCAGGCCAACCATCCATAGATTTGAAATGATGTGACAAATTCAATAATTTTGTGTCAACGCGCGCCCAAAATGCAAAACACATGTTTTTTGCTGAAAATACATTTGTCCATCCGAAAGGGTGCAAACACATATGACATATGTTCAGCTTCGCCATCACATAAAATGAGCTGGAAACGTTCGGATCCACGATTTAATATGTTCCAGGCGCGGGTTATTAGCTAAAGTTGTGGTCTGTGCAGCCCAGGAAATTGTTAACACGTGATTTAATTTGGGTGGTTGTGATTGCGGTAAGCCCCAAAGCATCTGATTCTTAATTTTACATATTCCCAAGTAATTGGGAATGTGGTGATTCATGCGATAAATAATTGAGTTTTGGGTTCGTCTTCAGATAGCCCCCACTCGAATCTGTCATGGGCTTCGAAACATTCATATGTAAACCTTGGGTCCCAGGAAATAAGTCGGTTAACAGCATATGTTGAGGGGTTGCTTCTTGAGCATTAAATAAGGGTTGGCACCCAGGAATTTAATTAATATTAGAGGGGGAGAAATGCCTTTCTGGAAACCTTAGGCATCAGGAAATTAGCGCCTGCAAGTTTTATTCGCCTGAGACTATAAATTCCGGCAAGTAAGGTCAAACACCAGGATTTTAATCTTAAAAAGGTCAGGACCCCAAACATTAATCGCGATATTTTCCCAGGACAGGACTCTCCGGAGTGCACCAGATGGGGATTATAGATACCCTCTGGTAATTTAACATAGCCATGGTATAGATGGTCCATAGAAATAGATGATTTTCCCAGCGACATCAACCTCCATTTCTAAGGGATTTTCCATGGCTATGTTAGTCATAACCAGATGGTATATAGATAATTATAGATAATAGGTATAAGAACATAATATATCGATCGGAGGCCTAGAACAACAAGAAACTTCGATCAGATTTGAGTCCGAAAATGGATGACAATGACCGCCAACTTGTGGCCAAAAAAACAGATGAGCATCGTTTTTTGTGAGATTACCCGGCCTGGTAAACGTTCACATAACTATGGAAAGATCCACCATTTTGCATGGGAAAACTCACTATTTCGACTGGGCCATGTTCAAGTTCGCAAACTGTTTGTTTACCAAAGGGTATGAAATTTAGATCAAAGGGAACTGCATGATATGCTGCATGGGCTGATGATGTGTGTGTTTTGCAGCGCAGGCCCCTCGCTGCAAGCGGCTTGTGTAGGCGTAGGCTGCTTCCGTGTAGGCTGCCTTCCACATGGCGTAGGCCCGTGTAGCCACAAATGCCTCTCCTCAGATGGGTAATATGATGATAAAATCCCTTGGATGTTGGGCTAGATATATTTTTGGATCAGCCCATGATATTATTTGGGCGCAGAACAGTGAAAACTTCTCAGAGGGTATCTTTCACACTATAGCTGCTATAGCTTCTCCCAGCTTGTTTCTATCATCGCATGATTCATAGATTTGCTGAGAACATTTAAGCGATGCCCAGCAGATTTGGCACAGTCTCAGTGGTGATTTCCTTAGTGATTTCCAAAAACTACCCACAAGGTGGTGCCCCCCCAGTTCAAAGTTGGTTGATAAACCATAGTAAATACAGATATATCTACCATAAACCCTAGTGAAATTGGAGCTATTTGCACCAACTGAACGCTAACGAACTGGGGCACCACCTTGTAGTGATGTTCTTTGGATCTCAGATATCTCAGATATCTCAGGTTCAAGCAATGCGAGTACGGGACGATGATCTCCACGTCTGCCGTGGCGGAATTGCAGGAGCTGAGCATCCGGAATGGCGTGATGACCATTGGAGGTGTGGGTTGTCGCTTGTGGAGATTTTCGTCAGAATTTTGGTAAATCATCGAAGTAAATGGGCAATCTATGCTGTTCTATTATAGCTATGTTTTCAAAATTACCGGAGGGTAGCCTGCACACATATATATATATATATACAACCATAAACTTCCTACTATATCACGGAGAAAAGGGATGACATGATCATCTACAAACGGTCATTTTATGACTGGGACAAAAAATCATATGGCAGTTCTATGAATGGGAAGATGGAATAGATCGAATTATACCCCAGTTTCACAGGAATGTCGAATGCAAATCGAATGCAAACATCACAAACATCACACATCGCAACCAGGTTGGTGAATTACTAAAATGTAGCTCAATTCACCCATGCGTTTGTTTTCCCCTCAGTATATCCCCATAAATCACAATGAAGAATGATCTGTATCTGTATAAAATCTCCGTGAATTTCCAGTGAATCATCGACGCCAATCAATTTTGATCCATTATTTTTAATCATCGTCCCCATCACCCAGATACCCTCTGGTGAACATACAAAAAGCAATTGAAAATGGCCATTGAAATAGTGGATTTTCCCATTAAACATGGTGATTTTCCATTGCTATGTTAGTTCACCAGAGGGTACTCAGTGAGTTCAATAACCAAATAACCAGTTTTTGCAAGTCCCAACTGGTCTTCGGCGAGGTGCTGTGACCTTAAGCACTTTGGAGCACTTCCTTGAAACGCAGGAGACCAATGTTCGCTACCAGGCCACGCTTCGGCGACATGTTAACTTGGATGGCTCCCTTGAGTTCTACAGGATGGGGTTTCAGTTCGGAATCGCGTTCAGTGGGTGCAAATAACTGAAAAATCATAAGAAGTTGGTGTATGATACGCAAATAACATCAAATAACTATAGTTGGTTTATAGCGATTTCATATACTATAGTTGGTGTATGATAATCATGATACGGAAATTCAATAGCTATATGGGTATGGATCAATACCTATGAAAATACCATTTTTAGGGGAATGAACGAATCCATTTTAACCCAGCTAAATTTTGATGTGTTCACAGAAGGGGTTTACCAGCTATTTTGACACACTGCCATATCATGATCATCATTGTTTGGTGGTTAATTCCGTATCTTCCATGGTTAAATCCCAGATAAGTCCATCTAAAAGTCCATATGGGTAACTACAACTATAGTTATAGTTGGTAACTATAACTATTTCATATACTATAGTTGGTTTATGATACGGAAATTGAATAGCTATATTTAGATGGGCTTATAAAGCACAACATTCACATAACAGGGGTGCCCCATGGCCCTGCTGCTCCAAGTGTGATCTGTTTGATCATCCGACGAAGCCAGGCTCGCCCGGCTCGAGCGACAGATCATGGGTTATCAACAAAGACGACCTGATTTTCTAGGGGATTCTCCATGGGATTATCAACATTTATGCACTATTTATGCACTATTTATGAACTATTTATGCTTTTTCTGAAACATATCTTGAGATGGTAGAAACATCAGAAACATCACAAGCAACTGTTGGAGAATCAACAAACATAGGGCTTGATCAAGATGTAAAAAAGGGCGAGATGGACACCAATGAGGCTTTCAACCACCCCTTGGCAACCCGTTGGTGACCAGTTGGCGAGCAGTTGGTGATAGGAAGTCAGAACTCACCGAACTAGAAGCATTACATATGAGATACGTACGCATGAACCACATTGATATATCATACACACAAAGATTCATGATCACCAGATGTCTATATCTATCCGTCTCTAAATATGTTATATATATATATTATGTCCATATATGCTCACACGCGAAGCTATCGATTCTTTTACAGATCTTTGCCCACGTGCAGCCGGTGTGCGTTGAGTTCCTTGGCGACTGAGTCGTGAGTTGTTAGATCCCGAAATCATGTTTTTTCTTCATGAACCTCTCCGCAGTTGCGTGTGTCTACTTTTCTAGTGGCTACCATCTGGTTATTTAACATAGCCATGGAAAATCACCATTTTTAATAGGTAAACCATCTATAAATGGACCATTTCCCATGGCTATGTTAAATAACCAGAGGGTATGAAAGCTGGGCATAGTTGCAACATGTTGCAATGGAATAGCCGTTGATGTATTATGGGCATTTGCGGGATATAGCTGGGATTAATGGATTTTAGCAATTTCATTACACTATTCTAGGAATTCTCGGTAGGCGATTGCTGGTGGAAGCAACTTGTTACGACCATCTCCCAAAACGCTGGAATCGAACATTTTCCAGAACTTAAAGGTCAAACCCCAAGACATTTAGCCATGAACATGTGAATTTTATTGAATTTTGATGGCCTATGCGGCTTATGGCTTGGCAATCTACAGAATCCCATGGAGATCATGGAGGTGTGAGAAATCACTTGACCCATACCCGGGCTGACCCCAGAAATCTCAAGCTTTAAGGTGGTTTTGCACGATGAAGCGACGAAGGGAAGTGAAATTGGCCACCAAAACACTCTTGGGGTCTGTCTGAAATGGCAATTTTTGGTACAGGATGGTGCCCCACAGTTGATTAGTTAGCTAAGAGTTGGTGCGTTTATAACTCCAGTGAAACACTATGCTTTGTGGTAGATATATCTATACTATTCCTACGGTTTATAAACCAACATTCACATCACGTTTAGGGGCCCCATCCTGTAGGGAATTCCATGATCATCGATGATCAACTACAGGATGGGGCTGAAAAAAACATGGTTTATGGTAGATAGAACTCTTTGATGGGGGTTATTTCATGTACCCAAATAAATTCAATTTTCAGAGAAACTCGTAATTTTTTGGGAATGAACATGAATCCGTCACATTCCGTGGATTAGAGGAACTTGTTTCATGTCGCAAATCCGCATCGTTTCATGGTCGTTGATTCAAAGATGCTGCCAAACAGGCGGTCACACTTCATGGCCTTTCCGATGGATAGGTAATTAAGATATGGCAAGATGGAAATGCATCACAACATAAACACTTGGAGATGCTGGGCTCAAAACCAAATCACAGCTTGTTTCCAAGTTTGCCCATTTCTCACTCAATGCTGGACGCCATTTTTATCAGTGGCTGGTTTCAGAAACCATCGCAACTGGCTGAGCCGTTCAATTGGCTGATCCTCTCATATTCTGCTCAAATCCCCTGGTGCCACCATAAATTCTGTTGGTTAAAGCCTCGTTGGTGAAATCTCCATGAAACGGGTGGTAACATGTACATCAAAGAGCCCATTTTTGTGGCCTCCTAGGTGCAAACATGTGGGCCTTCAAGCGCTTGAGGTGGTTGGGGGGGGCTCAGGATCGACAGGAGACGAGCACATCTTCAGCTGGTAAGACACCTTCAACAGGCTATCTGGGACCTTGATAAATGTTGGAGATGTTGGTAACATCTAGATCTTCTATAATGTTGCTAACGTATATAATGTAACTATATCCCCATTTGTTACCAACATTCATAATCCCCATAATGTAACCATTGTTGGTGATGTAAAATGTATTAAAATGTAATCCCCATCTTAAAGCTAAAAACCTCACATTTTGGATGTTAACAAAATCTCCCCCTATGACATACCTGACAGGACCTAACATTTTTATTCAGCTAACATCACCCCTTGGAAATCCCCAGCTTGGCCAGGTTCCGCTGTCCCGAGCTGCGACGCGCGCTGCCGGCCCTGGGCGGCGGCGCGCTCGCCAGCGCATGGTGGGTGAAACCTACTCTGACCGAAGGTGTGGGGATTTGGAGCGGAACTTGGGAAGAAAATGGAACCTCATCAGCAGATTCTGCTGATTTGTTTGAAGACGGTGGATTCGAAACGCTGATTTTCAGCAGGATCATTTGGCAAGTAGCAAAAAAAGTAGGGACTTGTCTGAAATAAAATGATTAAAATGGAATTTAAGCCGGAGACATGAGAATACAACCAACACCATCTTGATCCATATCAATGTGGAGAGGGTCTTGAGACTAACAAGAATGGTGCTTTGACCAGCAGACAGCTTTGACCAGCAGAGATGTTGCTCAAAAACGACAGGGGAAGTTTCCAGCTAACATTGGGATGTGACGGAAAAAAATCCAGCTATTGCCCCAAATCTGGTTGGTGGTGACTGGAACATTGGTTTAGTATGGGATAATGATGGTTAATAATGGTTAATGATGGTTAGTAATCACTGGTTGGTGGTGACTGGAACCATGAAATTTGGATTGACTTTCCATATATTGGGAATGTCATAACCCCATTTGACGAACTCCATGATTTTTCAGAGGGGTAGGGTTGAAACCACCAACCAGTAAACGGATGCACTTTCGAGTTCTGAAAAAGGACAAGCCGCTTGTGGACTTTGTAGGTCTGTTGGCTCTCCCATGACTTCGCTCATATCCAGCAGCGGGATTGGATGAAGTGAAATTGGGATTTCACTAGTAGAAATGAGACGACGGCCAGCAAAAAGTGGTGGTGTTACGGGTAATCAATGGTAATCTGGTTGGTGGTTTGGAACTAGCCCTGGCCCAAAACCGTGACAGACGGGCGGCTTCGCTAGCTGATGTTTGGGAGGTTGTAACCCAATGTCTGGTTCATCCGAACAAACCTGTTTAGATACGCTGTTCAGACCACAATGGTCATGTCTATGCAATGGGGCTCCGGTGTCTGTGGTCATTGACAATCTCATTTGGGCGCAGAACTCTGGTGTGGGAAAGGTGGTACCCGGGGAGCAGGTGGTAAGATTGGTTGGACTTATCCCCCCTGAGGTCACTAGCGCATCCAAAGTCACCGTTTTGTCTGCGTCCTTCTTGTCTGCTGGCCCGGTGGTTGACTTGGTTCTGGACGACACCAGTTTGGTTTTGGCTCACCGATCTCTGTCTGCTGACCATGTCTTCAACCTTGTTGAGTTGTGCTCAGGTGTTGGGATTTCGTCCATTGGATTTTCCCGTGCCGGTTTTCGACACAGGTGCTCCGTTGAACGACAGCCAAAGCTCGCTGAACTTCACAGCCAACTGCACCCTGGGGTTCCAATCGTATGTGCAGACGTCACCCATGACACAACTGCCAGCCTGGTTTTTGCACATTGCCCTGACCCTTGCACCATCATGTCCGGCATAGCATGTCAACCGTTCTCAAGAGGTGGCTCACAGCGAGGACAACAGGACAGCAGATCTTCATCACTTCCTGGCACTCTTCGTATGATGTACCTGCTTCAGTCTCCCGCGTTGATCATCGAATGTGTAGTGCCAGCCAGAGACAACATGTACGTCCGTAGCCATTTGCAGGCCTTGGTGGATCAGCTTGGATACCATGTTGTTGAATGTTCGCTGCGCCTTGAAAATGTTTGGTCAGCTTGCCGATATCGCTGGTGGGTCATTGCCACACACCCTTGCATCGGACCTGTGAAGATCCCAGCCTTTCCCACAGGCTCCTCGCTAGTGGCCAGAGACCTTATGCCGTATGTGCATCGATGGCCTTCGAGCGACGAAACTCAACTTCTGTTGCAAGGACCGGAACTTGAACGTTTCCAATTGGGTGGGCAATCACTCAGGCAACATCAGGTCAGGCCCGACATCAAGCTTCCGACAGCACTTCACTCATGGGGCAACCAGACACAGCCATGTGAGTGTGAATGCAGGCCGACTGGTTTCAGTGATGAACTTCTGACCACCAAAGGCATCTATGCACAACTTTTGCAGCTTCCAGCCATTGACGGACAGGCAGGTGCTTGGAGACATTTGCACGTGCTGGAAGTTTCTTTGCTGAATGGGGTCCCTTTGAACCTCCCTTGGGGAAGCAACCAACGGCTCAATCTGTGTGCGATAGGACAGATGGCATGCCCAATGCACTCAATTTGGCTGGCAGCATCACTGGCACGTCACATGCACATGTTGTTCACTGATGCCACCCCTGCAGATCCCAATGAACTGCTCCAGGCTTTGAAACATGAAGTCATGACCCAAGGACGTGAGCTCTTCCCGAATGTCCCACGCCAGCCCATTGCCCCTGACAGATGTGCCATCACCATCCAGGAGCCAGGACTCAGTGCATGGACTTTGGTGTTCCCCCCAACTGCGGTTGTCAAGGACTTGATCTTGGCACATGGACGCCTTCATGCAATCCCCCTGGATGAAATTTGGGTCAAAGATGATGAGAATAACCTCACTACTCATGAAGCCAAGCTGTCCCTGTTTCCCCGTCTCACCATTGGCAAGTATGAGGACTTGTACCCCAATGACCCGTCGTTTGGAGGTGATGAGATGCCGCAGGATGCTCCAGATCTGAATGCTGTCACGCAGATGGACTTGTCCTCGGAACAAGATATGTTTGAGAACCGTCCTGAGACCATCGACTCCCGCGGCTCAGACTCCGGCCTTTTGGTTCCGTCTTCTGCGTGCCCTTTTGACTCCACTGTCAATGGATTGTTGGATTTGCGTGCCCCTCAACTGTTGGCGATGCTACCTCCGTTGGTACCGGATGTTGAACTCTGCAGCTCCATGCGTCGTCCCACGGTCCCTGTTGGCACGAGAATCTCCCTGTTAGACAATCAGGCACATGCATGGGCTGATGATGAAGTTTGGTGGCATTTGAGTGCCATTGCCATCCAGAAACCCAAAGAAACTGCCATCCTGGATCCTTTGATTGCACACACATGGCTCACCGCAGGCACACCTGCTGCAGTACAGTATTGGGCCTCCATGCAGCCAAGATTCAGTCGCATTGCATCCGTTGTTCTGCTTGATGGCCATTGGACTCCCTGCATGTGGATTTTGAGGCCGACGGTTTTGGAAGTCATCATATGGGAACATGACGATGTGGACATCAATGGCCTGAATTGCCTCCATGGACTTTTGAGCTCAGTTTTGGGGTTGCCACATTTTCATGTGTCCTGCACTCGCCGTCAGTTCGGAGATCAAAACTGTGGTGCAGCCGCCATTGCCTTTCTGCAGCATCGCTTGACCGGTTCCAACCTGCCAGAAACAGCCGCTCAGTTGCAAAATGCAGCAGATGAACTCCGTGAGGCTTTTCGACAGTCATTGGAAGGCTTCAACCAAGTGCCGAGACCGTGGTGCTGGGGTGCAGGAGTGACAGATTCCACAGCCGTGCTTAGCGCGCTTTTGCAACAACATGGAGTTCCAAGCCAAGCAGCCCCGACCAGAGCCAAATTGGTGTTGCAAAGCCTCGGCCAAGATGCAGTGAGGAATGCGTTGCAAGGAGTTGCACCCTGGAGGACTCTGAAATCATTGGCAAACCAGCAGAAGCCAGTACTGCAACTTGTCATACCAGACGAATTGAACGCAGTCATGCAGGAACGCAAGACGAAGAAGGCCACCCCCAAAGCCTCTGGCCCAAAGGTCATGCCGTCCAAGCCAATGGACATTGACCCAGCCAAATTGACTTTGGCTGATGCATCTTTTCAAATGGAAGCTGGAGCTCCTGCCCCACAAGTTGCCGCATCCCAGGTAGGACCACTTGCAGTTGGCGTTGCCTTGATGTCCTTTCCTGAAGCCAAGCCATTTTTGCAATCAGGCCAGACACTGACCAACAAATGCCTCGCCATTTTGGTGATTAATGGACCCGATGAGCTGCACACCACTTTGCAATGGTCCACAATCCGGTTTGCAGCTTGCTGTGCAGTCAATAACCAACCAGTGTTGCTGTCAGGTCATTTGGTCCAACTTGGTGTACAGCCAATTGTCCCTGTCTTCACGCATGGTGGTCCCACAGTCCAAGATGTCCCTGTCGCATGTGCCCGCATCACAGTGTTTGCCGACCAGTGGCCCCAAGACTGGTCCAGTTTGGCAGATCATCCGTTCAAGCAGGTTTTGCAGACCCTTCCGCCATTGCAGACGTGCAGAGATGACAGCTGTCAATGCGGCAAATGGCACCCGACAGGTTCTGACTCAGCCCAAGATGCCTTGCTTGATGTGTTTCGCCGGCAGTTTTTCACGGACTCAGGTCGACCAACCAAACATGCGCAGGCAAGCCATTTCAGCGTCCAGGTCAGATACCTTAAGTCCCAGGAACTGGCACTTTTGCAGCTGTCCGGACTACATGGAGTGTATCTTGAGCCCAGGTTGCCAGATGCTTCCGCCCCGACAGATGAGTACCAGGTCGTATGGCTCCCACAGGCCGACTTTGCCACCGCCCAGCACCAGTCCAAATGCGAGCCGATGAGCCTTGGCCTTGCGAGATCCGGCCGGCGATATGGACTTCGAGTCACTGCCAAGAACTTTCAGCAAGTGTTCCAGAAGCTGAAGCCGGAAGGACAGTTTTTGTCTCCAGGTACGAGGCTTACTTGGCAATGCGGCCCATTCCCATATGGCAGCGACCGTAAGTCCATCGGCCGTGTCTTTGCTGAGTGGGCTTGGCAGGCGAGACCTCTCCAACCTGCCCGACCAATTTCCGGTGGCGTGATGTGGCTTGTTCAATCGGTGACAGATCCTCCACAGCTGGTGTACAACATGCAACATGGCCAGGTGATGATCTCACGTTGCGACTCCGTCCGGGAAGGCATGGCAGAGCATGGCACGGTGATTGGTCCGCAGAGCACCATCGAACTGTGCTCATCCACCAGTGCCCAGGACCCGTGGACAGTCCACGATCCATGGCAACAGGCCTTGACAAAAATGCCTGCCCCACCTGCGCCTACCATGACCCCACAGCTCCAGGAGCTGGAGGAGCGCCTGGAACGCAGCATCATGGAGAAGCTTCCCATGGATCGCATGGAAACAGACGACACTGAAGATCGCCTGCAGACGTTGGAGAAGCAGATGCAGCACCTTGCGTCACGCCACCAGGCGTTGGAGGGGACAGTGGCCGAAAACCATCGCCAGCACTCTGCACAGGTTCAGACCTTGCAAGCCCAGATGATGTCCCAAATGGAGGTGCAACGTACCCACATGTCCAACATGTTCGAGGACCAAATGAACAAGCTTGAGACCATACTTGCAAAGAAAGGCAGGTTCGAATGAAGGTCCGGTAGCCACAGTGCCACAACCCAACCTGTGGTGAACCATCGCTTTCGAGCACCAGGGTTTTTCATATGGATTTTCCTTGTCCTTAGTATGTTTTTGGGTGCTGAGTGCCGCATCGGTGAAGCCAAGACACCAGGTCCTGCAGCCGCTGGCGACACATGGTCCCTCGGGGTTTGTAACCCATCCGGGTTACAGGGAAAAAGCGTACTCCTTGCCGGAGTCGACACAGATGTCATAGCGGTTTGTGAAACCCACCTCACAACCACTGCCCGTTCCGTTTTGCAACACAGCTTGAAGTCGCACAGCCAATATAGTCATGTGATCACAGGTTCCCCCTTGCCTGCTCGGATCAACACCAATGATGCTGGCCAATACTCTGGAGTTGCGACCATAGCTCGAGTTCCTGCCCGCGCACTTTGCGCTTGCTGGCCCCAAGACCTTTTTGAAACCGGCCGAGTTCAAATCACTGGCACGTTCATCAATCAAACCTGGATCACAGGCGCAGTCATGTATGGCTACCCACAAGGCAAAGTCCACCACAATGCTTTGGCCCGTTCCTCCGAGATGTTGGAATTTTTGATCAGCCATATGACTCAGGTTGCCTCTGGACCAAGGTATCTGTGCGGTGACCTCAACCATGAAATGGACCAACTCCCAGCTCTCCAGCGCCTGGTCCAGCTAGGCTGGCGTGAAGCCCAAGACCTTGAATGCCTGCGTACTGGAACCCAACCTCAACCGACGTGCAAGGGATGTACTCGCAAGGACATGCTGTGGATTTCGCCAGAGTTGGTGCCGTTCTTTCGGTGTGCCTTCGTTGACCATGATCGTTTTGCAGATCACTCCGTGTTGCGAGCATTCTTTGCCTTGGATGGTGCGCTTTCCAAACGATACCTGTGGCCGAAGCCCAAGCCGGTGCCGTGGAACGTTGTCCTGCCACTTGACCAGCCAGTGGATTTTGCTGAAGGCTCCCCCACGGAAGTGTACAAGCAGCTCTGGCAAGCCAAAGAGGCATTGGCCAAAGACCACTTGGGTGAACAATGGCAATACCAAATGCAGGGCCGAGGCCAAAGAACTGAGCCCTTAGTGCGCAGAGGCTGGGCAGCACCGCCTCGCAAAGGCCGCTCCAGTGACTTCCAACCTGCGTTCCATGGTTACAACGTTCAGCACAGCCGATGGCTACGTCAACTGCGGAGACTGCACAATTACCATCGCTGGGCCATGCATCACTATGGCACTGCTGTTGCCAACCAACAACTTCATGGCACTATGCTTTGGGCCAGTGTCCTGAAGGCAACTGGATTTGGTCCCTCTTTTCAGGCATGGTGGATTTCCCGGCAATGCATTGGACTTCAAGACCCTGCGTCCGTGCCGACCCTTCCACCTGATGCAAACCATGCGTGCCAATTGTGTGAAGCCTTTCAAGGTGAGCTGCGAGCCTTTGAACGTACGTTGAACGCCGCCAAGAAAGCAGCCAAGGTTTGTGCCCACAAACGCAATCAAAACTTGATCTACAAGGACACCAAAAGGCCTACCCCAGAACCTGTGACCAGCCTCTTGGTCACCAAAAAGGCCAAGGTTGCTGAAATCAGACCGGAGGACAGTGCGGTACTCCTTGACCAGCCAGTCTTGTTTGATGCCCAAGATCCGGTGGTGGTAGGGAATATGCCAACCACCATCATTCATGCCACCGCCGACACATTGTACCTGTCTGACATTGCCGATGCGCAAGTGGGTCATCAAGTCACTCAGACCCAGCCAGTTGGTGCACTTGATGAAGTTTTTGCCGCATTCCATACCCAGTGGAAGCTTAGGTGGTGCAAACACGATGACATCCCCCACAGCCACTGGGATCAGCTGGTTAGGTTTGCCCGACACCACCTTCCCAGACATGACCTTGTGCCAGTAAACATCACACCAGACTTGCTGCGTGCCGAAGTTGCCTCCAAGAAGTCCCAGGCTGCTACCGGCTTAGATGGCGTCAGCAGAGCAGATATCCTCCACCTGGACCGCAACAGCCTGACCAGTTTGTGCCAGCTATACCACCGAGCTTGTAGTGATGGAAGTTGGCCTTTGCAGACAGTCACCGGCAGTGTGGCGTCACTGGCAAAAAGAGAAGGTGCAGCCAGCACCCAAGACTACAGGCCCATAACCATCTTCTCGATGGTTTACAGAGCTTTCAGTTCCCTTCATGCCAGATGCATGCTGGATCAGGCCAACCAGTGGTGCCATCCAGATATATATGGAAACAGAAAGGGTCATCAGACCAGCCAGCTGTGGCGTGTTTTGGTCTCAAGCAGTCAGCAGGCCTATGACCAGAATCAGTGCTTGAGCGGCTTGACAGCTGACATAGAGAAATGTTTCAATTGCCTCCCGCGGTATCCCATCATCGCCGCAGCCCTGCAAGTCGGCACACCGTTGTCTACCATGACAGCCTGGTGTGGGGCCTTGGCCGCCATGACACGTAGGTTCAAGGTGCGTGACTCATACAGCACTGGCTTCACCACCAGCACCGGACTTGCAGAAGGCTGTGCCCTCAGCTGCTATGGCATGTTGATCATGGATGACATCATGCACCGCTACATAGCAGCGCAATACCCATTGCTGAGGGTGCTAAGCTTTGTGGACAATTGGGATTTCATCACCTGGAATGCCCAAGCCGCTACACAGCAGTTGGATGCACTTCTTGAATTTGCCAGCCTGGCCGACCTGACAGTTGACCGCCAGAAAACGTACGCCTGGTCCACCTCAGCCGAGGTCAGAGCCAACCTGAGGTCGCTTGGAATCCCGGTCAAACATGCGGCCAAAGACCTGGGCGCTCACGTGGCATTCTCACGCCAGCACACCAACAGCACGGTTACCAGTCGCCTTGATGCTCTGACACCTTTCTGGACTCAGCTTCGCCAAAGCCGTGCCAGCTACCGGTCCAAGTTGCGGGCGCTGCGAACTGTGGCATGGCCACGAGGCCTTTTTGCTGTTGAGAGTGCCCCGATCAGTGACAACACCTGGTTATGCCAAAGACGCCATGCAAATAAGGCTCTCAGTATGGACAAACCTGGTGTCAATCCCATGTTGTTGCTTGGCCTTGTTGAAGCCTATGTGGATCCTGAGTTTGTTGCCCTGATCCGCACGGTAGGAGAGACCCGTCTTAACTGCCCCCTGGACTTTTGGGCTTCTGATCTTTTTCCACTTGCAGCCGGCATCACCAACAGTCCACCATCTTCTCCGGCGGCTGTTTTGCTTGGACGCATCCAGAAAGTTGGCATTGCCATCAAACCCACAGGGCACTGGGAAGATCGAATTGGCCTTTTCCATCCAGCTCATGTCAACTTTGCTGAACTATGCCACAGGCTGCAATGGCAATGGCACCAGTATGTCTGTGCGGCAGTCTCTCACCGCAAAGATTTTCATGGTCTTGACATGGTTGACACCACCACCACACGTCAAGCCATCAATCGCCTGGCTGTTGATGATCAATCAATGCTCCGCCTTAGCCTGGCCGGGGGCCTTTTCACCCAAGATGCCCACGTGCACTGGAATGAAGGTACAGGCTCCTGCAAGTGGTGTGGTCAGCTGGACTCCCTGCGCCACCGATACTTCGAATGCCCCAACACCTTGGACTTACGCACCAGCTTGGCTCCTGATGTGCTCCCTCTTTTGCATTTGCTCCCGGAAGCCATGGTCTTGCGCAGCTGGGCTATTTACCCGCCCACTCACCTTGCGTGGCTCCGTTTGTTGGACTCTGTGCCCTGTGCGGTCCCGTCCCTGGCGTGTGCGTTCAAACCTGGTGTCCTCAATCACGTTTTCACTGACGGTTCTTGTCTGTGGCAAGCGGACCCTGCCTTCCGTGTTGCGTCGTGGGCTGCCATCCTTGCTGATCCGTGTTCCCCTGAGTGGAATTTCAGTTGTGGTGGCGTTCTGGGTGCGGGCCATGCCCCTGGACTTTGCCAAACCTCCTACCGTGGTGAGTTGTTTGCGTTGGCCGTCATCCTCCACCATGCAGCGCTAGGGGCTTTCAGGGTAAAAGTGTACTGTGATTGTTTGGGGGTAGTAAACAAATACCACCGGCTCACCTCGGGAAGAACTGCGCTCAAACCTAACTCTGCCAGCGCTGACCTTTGGACATGGGTGCTGGCGTCAGTTGCTATGTTGGGTACAGATGGATGCGAGGTTGTGAAGATCCCAGCCCATCGGAAGTTGCACCAGGCGAAGAGCCGCACTGAGGTTTGGCAATTCTGGCATAACAACGTTGTGGATGGAGTGGCCAAGCACGCCAACCTTGACAGGTCGCCGCAGTTTTGGGATCAATGGAAGCTCCACGTGGACCAGACGATGGCGGCCAGAGTTTTGCACGAACAGGTATGCGCCCTGCACATTGCAGTTGCCCGCCGCAGTGTACAAACAGAGGCACAGGTGACGCTGGATGAGGTGCCTATTGCGCAACCTCGACAGTTGCGCATTTTCCCTGTGGAGTTCAACACTGCTGCGTGGAGAGGCGACATCCCTTTGAAGTTTGCAACTGAATACGGAGCCGGCTTGGCGCGTCGGATTTGCAGATGGTGGCAGGCTCGGACAACCAGTGATGATGCTGGTGAGACCCGCTGGATCAGCTTCGCGCATTTGTACGTTGATTACCAACTTACATTTGGTTGCCCAGGACCGGTGAAGCATGGAGCTCAGTGGTTGGACGCGCAGACCAGGCCCTATTTGGACCCGGAGCGGCATCCGTTTTTGGTGCGCCTCAAATGGTTCAGGCGTTGCTTGAAAATGTTTTGGAAGCTTACTGGCCAAACTGTTGGAATGAACGCTTGCAAAGTGGAAGGGGATTCCATACAAAGTTTCGTCAACGCAGCCTCCATTCGGTGGTGCTATTTTAGCTGGAGTGGAGCAGAGCATTGGATAGCAACTGCCTGCAAAGGGCCTTGCTGCAGAGGAACGAGAGCCTTGGAGGCCTTACCTCTGGCCCGGCGGCAGGCCAAATTTGCGCTGTTGGATGAAGCGCTGTTTCACGGCACTGACTGTGCTTAGCGGACGGGCTAAAAGGCCTCGCTCCGAACCCTGAGCAGGCCGACTTCGGAAATTGTGTGGGAAATTGTGTGGTGGTTTGGAACATGCTTTATTTTCCATGATATATATGGGATGTCATCCTTCCCATTGACGAACTCCATCATTTTTCAGGATGGTTATTGCACCACCAACCAGCAATGGTAATCATAATTTTCCGTTAGGCGAGTCTTTTTTGGGATGACAACTTTGGGATCCCATATCCATGAGGACTGCTGAAGGGTGAATGGGGCCCCACCTGGCCGCCGTTTAAGCATCCACATTTTTCCCCTTTTTTGTAGAAAAAATATTGGCTTCTCGTGTAAAAATTTTGGTTTCTCGTGTGTTTACTTACCGAGTGAAAAAATGGACAATATGCCTATCTGGCCAGCTATGCCAACGACGAGTAGACTACTACTACTACTACTATTACTACTACTACTACTACTGACTACTACTGACTACTACTGACTACTACTGACTACTACTGACTACTACTGACTACTACTGACTACTACTGACTACTACTGACTAACTACTACTGACTACTACTGACTAACTACTACTAACTACTACTAACTACTACTAACAACTACTACTAACAACTACTACTAACAACTACTACTAACAACTACTACTAACTACTACTAACTACTACTACTTACTACTTACTACTTACTACTTACTACTTACCAGTAGTACCCGCACGAGGCGGGGCGGAAGTTGCCTTAAAGATATATATGAGACCTTTCTCATCTATAGAACTTGCATGCGCCGTGCGCCAGCCAAGCCCGTGCGTGCGTGCACTCTGCGAAACTGGTGTCGTGTTGCACATGTCACATTTGAAGCTCCACGTCACACTTCACACTTGACAGTCTTCACACTTCACACTGCACCCTTCGCAATCAACACTTCACACTTCTCACTTCACACTGCACTCTCCCCAATCCACACTTCACACTCCACACTTCACACTTCACAGTCCACACTTCACACTTCTCACTTCTCATTGCTTTCTTAACACTCCACACTTCACACTTCACGCTGCACTCTTCACGCCCCACACTTCACACTGCACTCTTCACACTCCACACTTCATCTCATCTGAGCTCTTCTCGGCGCTTCTGCACGTCAGCAAGGTTGAGCGTAACTCATGTCGGTTCTTCTACATGCCAAAAGGCGTAGACCAGAAAATATTTACAATATTGAAGTCATTAATGCCAAGCGTTGATGCATTGCATCAAATCGCAACGGCAAGTGTAAACATGGTGTAGTTGTTACCTGTCAAGGAGATTCACGCAATGTGCCTTTTCCCAAAGCCTTCATCTCCTCTAAGTGCGCTTCTGCAGCAGCACAAAACTTCCGAAAGGCTGCTCGCACATCTGACACGCAGTTTTCTTTTTCCCATTCTTGTATCACCTGAGTCTGTTCGGCCGAAAAGGTTTTCTCAAGAGCAAGATACATCTTCTAATACTTCCAACATTTTCCGGTGCTTAGACAAGCTTTCAACGTCTTACATTCCAGCACCTTCAAAGTCGCCGCTTCCTTCTCGATGTATGACAACAGATCAGCAAAGGTCCCCGATTGCGCCATGGCTCCACCGCGTCTTAGGAAACGGGTCGCGCTGCCACGTCTCCTTGCGCACTGCGACGTCCGAAATTATGAGCATGGCTGTCTCATCATGCATACCTTTCTCATCCACTAACCGCTCCAAAACATGAAAAAATCTTCGTGTCTAACCATGAGACCTGAAGACATGACACCTCTGACAAATGCGCGTTCCCAATTCTTTCTTGCTACACATGTTTGCCTCCTGGAAAATGCAAACAGCTGCGGCCACAACACATCGCCACCGTGGTTTCTAATCAAGAGTTCTATAGCTTGTTCCTGAACATCAATGTCACAACATTTACCTACATCAATATCGCACACAAAACTCGAAATAGCAACCTACATCCACGAACTAGCTGACAAACTACTTCCCAGTACTACTTCTCAGTATATACTACTTGGTACTACACAGCTTGCACCCAATACTACTTTGCACTACAAAGCTTGCAAAAATTACTTCCCAGTACTACTTTGTACCACAAAACTTGCACAAAGTACTCCCCAATACTACTTTGTACTACAAAGCTTGCACAAAGTCCTTCCCAGTATATTACAATTTGCAGCTCCAAAACTGGATCTCGACGCCAAAGCGACAAAAAGACGATTTTGAAGCACTTTTTAAAAGGAATTTTAAAAGGAAAATTATCAACGCCAAAATTGGGAAAATCTGCTGACAAATCATTTTCGCAGCCTTGATGCAGCCATTCCAATACGATTTACGATCTTCAGCTGCAAAAGACAATAGTATTACGCATGCAGCCGCTGCACCAAGCAACCTTGACACAGCCACTACAATGCGATCTGCAGAGACTAAGTAGCAAAACACAATAGAACTACGTGCAATGGCATCGGAAATTGCAGCTCCAAAACCGGATCTCGACGCCAAAGCGAAAAAAAGACGATTTTGGTGCACTTTTTAAAAGAAATTTTAAAAGGAAAATTATTAGCGCCAAAATTGGGAAAATCTGCTGACAATTCACTTTCGCAGCCTGGATGCAGCCACTCCATACGATTTACAATCTTCAGCTGCAAAAGACAATAGTATTACGCATGCAGCCGCTGCACCAAGCAACCTTGACGCAGCCACTCCAATGCGATCTGCAGAGACTGAGTTGCAAAACACAATAGAACTACGTGCAATGGCGTCGGAAATTGCAGCTCAAAACCGGATCTCGACAACAAAGCGAGAAAAAGACGATTGCAACATCATGCAGCCGTTCCAATGCGATCTGCAAGCACAGATTCCAAAACACCCTATAACTACGCACACAAACAAGCACACCCAAAGCAGCTTGAAGCCACCGTTACACTGCGGCAAAAAAAAACGATAAACCGACCCCAGCCGCACCCGTCGCACAGACGAGGTACCTTTCATCGCCGGCCGCAGCCACTTTACACGGAAAAACACAAGGTTTCGCGCTCCGGCTTCCTCCCCAAAACAAAGCCCATGCAACATCATGCAGCCATTACAATGCGGTTCGCAGCAGCAACTCGCAAACTTGCACCTATCTACGCACAGAACAACACCAGAACACCAAATGACAACAGTCATGCAGCCATTCCAATGCGATCTGCAAGCACAGATTCCAAAACACCCTATAACTACGCACACACAAGCACACCCAAAGCAGCTTGAAGCCACCGTCACACTGCGGCAAAAAAAAAACGATAAACCGACCCCAGCCGCACCCGTCGCACAGACGAGGTACCTTTCATCGCCGGCCGCAGCCACTTTACACGGAAAAACACAAGGTTTCGCGCTCCGGCTTCCTCCCCAAAACAAAGCCCTTGCAACATCATGCAGCCATTTCAATGCGATCTGCAAGCACAGATTCCAAAACACCCTATAACTACGCACACACAAGCACACCCAAAGCAGCTTGAAGCCACCGTTACACTGCGGCCAAAAAAAAAACGATAAACCGACCGCAGCCGCACCCGCCGCACAGACGAGGTACCTTTCATCGTCGCCTGCAGCCACTTTACACGGAAAAACACAAGGTTTCGTGCTCCGGCTTCCTCCCCAAAACAGAGCCCTTGCAACATCATGCACCACTCCCCTTCATGGTTGCCAGTTCCCTTCCTCACCACTCCCCTTCATCATCACTTCCCTTCCTCTCCACTTCCCTTCGTCACCACTTCCCTTCCTCACCACTTCCCTTCGTCACCACTCCCCTTCATCATCACTTCCCTTCTTCAAAGGAAAATTATTAGCGCCAAAATTGGGAAAATCTGCTGACAATTCACTTTCGCAGCCTGGATGCAGCCACTCCATACGATTTACAATCTTCAGCTGCAAAAGACAACAGTATTACGCATGCAGCCGCTGCACCAAGCAACCTTGACGCAGCCACTCCAATGCGATCTGCAGAGACTGAGTTGCAAAACACAATAGAACTACGTGCAATGGCGTCGGAAATTGCAGCTCAAAACCGGATCTCGACAACAAAGCGAGAAAAAGACGATTGCAACATCATGCAGCCATTCCAATGCGATCTGCAAGCACAGATTCCAAAACACCCTATAACTACGCACACACAAGCACAAAACCCAGCATCTTGAACCACGTTACACTCGGTCAAAAAAACGATAACCGACCCCGCCGCAACCGTACCGCCAACAGGTACCTTTCATCATCCGGCCGCAGCCCTTTACACGGAAACACAAGTTTCGCTGCTCCGGGCTTCCTCCCCATAACCCGCCCATGTGCAAACATCATGCAGCCGTCAACTGCGTTTCGCAAGGCAGCAACTCTGCAAACTTGCACCTTCTACTCACGAACACACCAGAACACCAATGACACAGTCATGCATCCATCCCATGCGATCTGCAAGCACAGATTCCAAAACACCCTATAACTACGCACACACAAGCACACCCAAAGCAGCTTGAAGCCACCGTCACTACTCCTGCTACTTAAAACAAAGCCCTTGCAACATCATGCAGCCATTCCAATGCGATCTGCAAGCACAGATTCCAAAACACCCTATAACTACGCACACACAAGCACACCCAAAGCAGCTTGAAGCCACCGTTACACTGCGGCCAAAAAAAAACCGATAAACCGACCGCAGCCGCACCCGCCGCACAGACGAGGTACCTTTCATCGTCGCCTGCAGCCACTTTACACGGAAAAACACAAGGTTTCGTGCTCCGGCTTCCTCCCCAAAACAAAGCCCTTGCAACATCATGCACCAATCCTAGCATGGAGCTTTGTCGTCCCCCGGTCGCATTCCCACCCTCCAAAAGCTTTAAAATCTTATATATTAAAAAGAGGGTGATAATTGACCGTCCCACACCTGCCACACAAAACGGACTTGAAAATGTGATCCGCGGTTGACCGAAATGGATGTTTTGTAAAGCTTTTCAAGAAG